AAAGATTTCAAGTGTTGATTCAATCAAATCATATAAGTCAAATACGCGTAACTCCACTGCATGTTTTGATAAGATATCTTCTCTTTTTGTGCTCATTTCTTGCTGATTATCTGAGTTAAGTAAGTTTGTGGCGCATGTCTCAGTCAAATTAGTAAGGTATTCAAGGTAATAAACGTTCAGCTAAAACACAATCAAAAAATTAGGAAGCATTGTGGCACTTATTATTCTTCTTTAACTTAGTTTATTTCATTAAAGGGAACATCTGATTGCAGTTCCTTTTTAGTGTTTGTTTTGGGGTTTTTTTGTTTGATTTGGTTTGGGGGTTTGGGTGTTTTTTTTGTTTGTTTGGGCTTTTTTTGCCTTTTTTGGTTTCATTTTGGGGTTTTCTTGTTTGTTTGTTTGTTTGTTTTTTGGTTGGATGGGTGGGTTTTTTTCCCACTTCAGTGGTTTAGAAAGTGGATATTGGGAATTCGGTTAAGCTGGGATTTTCATCTAACGTTATGATAGCAAAAGGATTGAGATTTACTGTTTCATATAAATTTGTAAAGGGAAAAATTCATTTTGTAAGATGCTTTTCAATCTTGTAGTCTCTGGCTGTGGATTGGGCTATTTTTTTGTGTTGGTTTTGTGGGTTCTTTTTCCTTCTCTTTTCTTTTTCGTGCATGAGTATGGTTATTAAAAGTCCTGACGGGGTCCACAGTTACATGTGGACAAACTTACTATCTTGAAATCAAGTCCTGGGCTGTTACTATTTTTGTATTATGGCCTGCTTGTTAGGGTGCATCTGGATTTGATTCTTAATGTGTTTTAAGTAAATAGCAAACTTGAAAGTAATTTTTAAGTATTGTAGAACCTTGTGGAACTCTTAGTGCATATTTCACAAGCCTCGTTGGCTGTTAACGATGGTCCCTGAAATTAGAAGGAGCTGTCATTTTGATGCATAAATAAATGCATGTTGCAGTAGAAGCAATAAAATCTGAATTTTAAATAAAAGGTCTTATTTTTAAATAAGAGAGTCTTCAACTGTAATTAACTACCACCAATCAATTCATACTAACTACTCATTTACTTTCATGGATTAATTTAATTCTGGACTAGCTTTTTGGATAATGAGAATAAAATGTAAAAAAAATAAAACCCACTAAACCAACCAAGCAAATTGCCCCAGTCTCTTGCCCTTCCCCACCCCCCAAAAAAGGGAGAATAAAAAAGAGAATCATAAAAACGTAGGCATATGACTTGAGATACACGTGAGGAACAGATCTGGCAAGTAAAAAGATGTTCACTTTTGCACATACCAAGTAAAAGGGCAGCCTAATCCCATGGGTGAGAAAATTGCAGAGAATTGGCCAGCTCATGACAAGATACCTCATCTCTGTTTTCAAAACCTGGATCTCCATGCACCACCCGGAACACCAGGAAGCAGAATTTGTTTCTGAGCCCCCAGGCTGTTATCTGCAGCTGTGCAGCGTAAGAGCATATTTTGGATACATCAGTATCTGAAGGCACTGGCTGATTTTTGGCCGGCAGTGCGGGTGTGTGTCTGTTTGCTGATGTGTCCACGTCATGCCTTACATAACTTCTGCAAGGCAGGTTCGAGCTGCAAGGCAGCGAACCACTCAGGCCTGATGATGGGTCATCTGGTTACATGATTAAAACCAGCCAGCCTCAATTTGCTGAGGATACCCGCGCAGTTTTGATGAGCTAATGGTATTCCAGTAGCTCAATTTCAGAGAGATTATAGGAGTTCTTATTTTGTTTGGCAGCGAGTGATGGGTAGATCTTCGTGCTACCCATGCACGGGGCAGACACTCCTCTGCTAGATGTGTGCATACAGCACTCAAGCACTCAAGCATTTGTGGCTCCTAGGTTGGGCTGCTGCAGTGCTGCAAGGGGCTACACCCTCACAGAATCACAGAATAGCTCTGGTTGTGTTCTCATGAAAGCATTTCTTGCTGTTGTCGCTGCTAGCTTCCGGGTCCAACAGTGGAGGGTTTTTTTTTCCAGTGACTTGGTGTTTTGGAGAGCTTGTTAGGAAACACTGAACAAGGCTGTTCACATTCATGGAGCAAAAGGCAGCTCTGACATTGACTACCCGGATTTGCTTTCCCTCTTGTCTCCAAGCACACACTCATGTGTTGAACGGTCTCTCTCTGACAAACGTTGGGAGAACTCGATACTCTCTCTTGCACGGGCTCCAGTAAAAGATTTTAGCTACTGAACAAGGATTTTCTGCCTGAGTCATAGTGAAGACAGGTACTTAAGGGAGTAGGGAAGAAATCCTCACAAACCATGCCTTCTCTTACACTAACCTGGCAAAATTCTAACTAGTAAGGATGCTTGAACCTCATGCGATGAGAGCTATGTGGTACCAGGTGTATGTGGCACTCTGCTCTTAGGTTTGCATCTGCTTCATGCAAGGTACTGTTTAGCATGCAAAGCACTAATTATGAATCTAAAGCCTCTGAATGGGAAGCTGTTCATTCATATGAAAGCCCTTTTCCTGGGGACACAGTGCCTTTCAGTGCTGGTATGCAAGCTGGAAACTCATTCAAATATCAGAAACTTGACAGAAGGCAGAATGTTATCTGAGAGAGCTTGGAACTGGTAGTCCCAAATCCTCCTACTTCAAGGTGGGCTGCATCTCGGTATATTTGGTTCCTGAGCAATGAGAGGGAGGATGATAACGGGATCTCATAAATTTCACAGCATACAGTAGCTGATTGGCTAGAATATACATTAAGTGCTGGGTGAACAGGAGCTTTTTTTAGAAGCAGACTGTTTTATAACTATATTTTAAATGTTTCATGGAATGCCTAAAGCAAAAGATAGCATTTCTTTTTAATCAGGGTATTTATTTGTTGAAATAAATGAATAATTTATTTACTTGCTATCTTGGTTGTATGTCTTCTTTCTGTGGATCCTTGTCAGGATGTACTTCAAATGGATATTTTTAGAGAGCAGTGTTGGTCTTGGGGAATAATTGAAGCATAGCAGTAGGTGAGTTATATGTCCCTGTAGTTGGCCTTTGGACCTTTTGAATGTCAATTTTTATAGTAATTTCGTTACTTGAAAACATGCCGTGGTGATTAAGTGTTCACATCTCTTATCCCAGAAAATCAGTTGCCATCTTTGCATTGATCAGTCAGGAATACTGCAAGCCTTACTATGTTGTGTTCAGCTGTCTCCATGATACACATAAAACAAGTACAGGGTAATTTTTCCATCCAACCTCCCTCCAGTCTGATCTTGTCTCTACTTTTGTTAATGTAGATCAGGTAGTATGACTCAAAGGAGTCTAAATGCACGCCTTCTAAGTATGTTTATGGGTATTTGTCTAATTATTTGTCTATTTTGACAGTGACTTGTGTGCATATGTGTTTGTGTATTTATTTGCACGCCTGCATGTACTCGTCAAAATACCTTCCAGAGTTTGCTTCCAAAATGCTGGGCCTGGTTCTCAAACTTGTACAATTTCTTTACTATAAAAGACTTGTGGCAAATATAGATAAGTGAAGAAACAAGTGCAATCCAAGAGTGGTCTTGTGTCAAGAGATCTAAATTAACAGTTGATGAGATAATGAAAACCAAGTAATTTTATATAAAAAAAATCACAGGAATACCTTTGAGTATTTGTACCATTTACAGCATATTTAATTATAAAAGCATCTTGTATGAAATAAATATTTACTTTATTCAGTGTGTAACAACTTCATAGCATTTGATAGAAATAAATAATAATGGATATGTGAAAAGAAACTAGATACTCCCTCAGCTTGTAAACAGTTTATGGCATATATGTTTCTATGAAAAAAACTGCTGAAATTCCATATATATTTACTGATGCAGTTAATTCTCTAATTTAAATATAATTTTTTCCAGTGAAAATAAAATTCCTGAACAGGCACTTGATTTTTGCACCAGTTTCGTGCCCAAATAGATTGCATTATGCTTGTGAAGACACCAAAACAGACGCAAAACTGATATTAGAAGCTGATATAAACCCACAATACTAGAATAGCATTGTCAGGCACATGATGTAAGGACTCATCCCTATTTCCTCTGGCTTTCAGAAGCTGGGTGTGTGGTTGAATGCTCACCCTACACGCCAGTGATGAGCTGGTTTGTGCAAAGCCATTATCCAAATACCTGACAAGAGCTGTGGCTCTGGCAGACTTTAGCACATGCAGAATATGACCGCTTTTGGAAGCAAGTCTAGAAGATTCATCAGAGTTTTTCTCACTCCTGTGATACTGTTACATTTTAATGTCTTTTGTAATGGTCCTCCCTCTTTTTTCCCCTCAGAGATGCAGGGCAGAAATCTGGGTCAATAAGTCTGGTCTTTTCTTAATATTAGCTAACTTTCATGCCTTTCCTTTCTTGGATGACCCTCCCAGCATGGATTATTAGTGTATTTTGTTAGCATTTTCCTTTATCTTTATACTAGTGTAATTAATGAAATTACGAAATCACATATATCCCTGAGCTGTTTATTAAGAATTGGTTGCTGGTACTCTTTTCAGCTTTCCCTACCATAATTTGCCTTTTTTTGTTCTAATGAGACTTAGTTCTCTCCTTTTAAATAAGTTTTTCCTACTAACCAATGCTAGATGAATTTCCTTTACCACAACTTCCTTCCTCATTAAGATTATTTTTTACTTTTATTACCTTCATATCTAAAATGGAAAGATTAAAATAGAAGAAAACACATAGTAAACACTATGATAAATATCAACACATTACAAATTAGGAGTATTACAGTGATTAAGTTAAACATCAAACGATATGTTGAACCAAACCTGAGACTTAAATGAAGTAAAATGTTTATGGAACAAATCTGTGACATATGACAGCGTAATCACAACGACCTACATAAGGCATAGGACAAATAAAGTGCAAAAATAAGAACTGCACAGTGACTCTTAATGGTTAGCTGCATTTTCTCCCAGAACTCAAGCATAATTATAATACATTTTCCCACTGTTTATTTCTCCTTACAGTACTTGGGGTGTATAGAAGTCTTGCGCTCAATGAGATCTCTTGACTTCAATACTAGGACACAGATTGCAAGGTAAGACTTTGTACAACTATGTTTTCTAAAGCAACTTCTGAGTTGTGTGCCCGAAGTGGAAAGGCTGGGAAGATGGCAAAACGCATAGTAAAGAACTTTTGGATACCATCACTCCACTTTCTAATTTTTCTTTTGCAGGTAGATCTCTCACCTGGTGCTAACACAGCTCCAACAGGGCTTAGGGGATATTTCCTTCATGGATTTTTGATAGGTTAGGCAGTGCTTTATAAAATGTTTGCCTGTTTGTTATGCCAAATAAAGCACTTATCTCGTTACCAATTTCATGGCATTCAAGCCAGTGAGAATTGAAATATGCTTAAAATCTATGATGCATTAGCAAAATTAGTCTAGGGAGCTGTTTTGGGGACCTATGCTTATATGTTTTTTTTTAGTAATTTCTTATGAAAAGATGTCAGAATTTCTTAGGAAGAGATGTCAGAGTACCAGCTATTTGTACCCTAAAAAGGATACAAATGAAAATATATCACCCCAGTGATACCAGGGACAAATGAAATAATGTTTTCTTTTTCAGACTGTATTTAAGGAACAATAAGCTTGTATTAGGCTCTTATTGCAATTCTTTTAAATGTGTCATGGTATTTTTGTAAGAGCAGTACATAAGTGCAATGCTCTCTAAAGAAGTGTCCATGAATCATTTTATTCTAAGAAGAATATTTTCTAAGAACTATAGGAAATCGTGTTTTGCAGGCGTTTTCACTTGAAAACCTGAGTCATTGATTTCAGAGGAATGTGATTTCAGGGAATGTGATTTCAGAGGAATGTGGCACTCATAGCAACTAGAGACCACTTTTTCAATTTCTGGAATTGAAATAAAGAAGGAATCCTTTCCAAAGAAACACATATAAAGTGATATTCCTGGATGCTGTTCTTGAATTTGACCTCTCTGAGGCATCTTACAGCTGCCAATAGGTCTATCATAAACTGTTTGTCATACCGTAAACAGTTGAGCATTTCTTTTATTAAATGAGAAAAATTGCTTGTTTTCAGACATGTGTGCTGATTGTATGGTCTATATGCAATGACTTGGAGTTCCACTTGCATACAGCAGCTTTGAGTTGGACCCCATAAGTCCCTACAAACAGTTAATCGTTAATTTGTCAAGATGCTGCACTGATGAGAGGCATGAAAGGACAAGGACAGGCAAATGACAGAATTCTCTTTTTTAGGCAATGTAGACTGTGGAGGCATTTGAGAATTTTACTTGTGTACTTTCAAAGAACACCATCATGTATGTTTCTGGTGTATTTGCAGCAGTGAGCTTTTAAAATTATTTAATGTCTGAGCAGACTTGTAGTTCCAATGCAGGTGGTCCACTTGTGTTTACCACTTGGAAGTTCAATGATACTGGCTTATGAAACAGCTGTGATAATCACTGGGTTTGGTTTCTATAACCGAAGCTGAACTGAATTCATCTTTATTTTTCTGCAGTTTCCTTCACTGTATGTCTTCATTGGAATAGTTTTGTACTTTTCTTCTCATCTGGCTTGAAGGCACTAATCTGCCATTAATACTTAAGCATATTTGGTGATCTGAAGCAGCATGGTGTACAAAAACAAAATATCTTTGCCTTGTAGTTCCTTCAACATGAAAAAATATGATTTTTGGCATTTACTGTGAAATGAACTTTGAATTATATTTTTTCTGTTGGAGTTACAGCATATTTGACTACATGGTGGTCATTTTATTGTCCCGTCTTCCTCTGATCACATCTATATCACAGGACTTTTTTTTTCAAGCAGGAAGTCATATCCTCCTGTTTTGCTTTTTGTTTTGCATTTGCGGTTTTCTGTTTATCATTAAACAATGAAAACTCATCATTTTGATCATGTAGTTCCTGATCTAAAATTTTTCTGAAAGCACAAGTTTTTAGGTGACTTTTGAATCAGGATCTAGCATCTTAGTGTGCATTTCCTTAATTCCTCTGGCTCTAGGAATCTCCTTGTCATGTCTTACATTTTCGGTAGTCATATGCTTTGTCATATAGCATTTCTCATACAAGCCCATTGTTCATTAAGAAAACATTATTAAGCAATTGCTAAAATTCACATGTGCTGATTGATTTCCTCGTGTGTATTAAGAAACATAACATGACATTCAGGTGTGTACTGATTTAATAAGGCTGATGTTCTGATATCTGGATCTGGTAGCGTTAGCAGCGACTGCATCAGCTGAGAAACCTGGGTCCCTAGCTCAGTAAAGGCTCCTGTGTGTAAATTCCTCTGTGCTGTTTTCCTACAACTTGCAGAGACAGCTGTGATCCCCTTCTGACCCAGAACTCCATAAACTGATCCTACTGCATGCATCAAACCTGTTTGATATGTTACTTTTCCAAGACCTTGCAAAACCAGTCATAGAAGAAAGCGATCTGTCTGGGGCCAATATGACTTCTGGCATTATGCAGTGTTTACTAAATATGATTTAAAAACAGTTAGAAAAAATGAGTCGAGTTACCTGATTTAGTGTGGAAGTCTGCATGCACCTCTTCCTCATCAGCAAAGCATCATGTTTCTCACATACAGAGCACTTACTCCCCTTCTAACACTGCATCACTTCTGTCCCTGCCTGCTTTCTTACCCTTTTTCTCCTTGTTTCTGAGCTCAAACATAGGAAGTCAGTCATTAGGAATCCTGCATTTGCCTTCTTTCTGTCTTCCAGTTATTGATGTGTCATTTTATGTCTCTGCTTGCCTTGGGGATGAGCAAAATCCCAAATTAGGATAAGCTCCTAGAATAAAAAATGTGTGTAACTCAGTCATGGGAGGCTCAGACATGTAGTCTGTGGCTCTGCTGAAATCTCTGGGTATTATTTTAGACAAACTGTTAGTCCCAGTCACAGACAATTCTGTGATTAAATGAATTACTGCTTGAAAATGGCACTTAAATTGTTGAGTGAGCATTTAGAAACTACTTAAAAATTTTACTAAGATTCCCAGTTATCTAGTGAATTAGAGATAAGAAATCAATGGGCAAAGCTTGTCCAGATAACCTGAATGGCTTTGAAAATCCCAGCTGTTATAGTGCACTGGGAAAGCTTACGCATCAGTGTGTATGCATGGACCAGTCTGACAAATGAAGAACTCTGGCTTCAATTTCAGGAATTGAAGCCCCAGTGTAAATACTTTGGTCAGTGGCCTTTTCTTCCTTATCACAGTCACATAAAGCATCAACTCATGCCATCTAATGCTGTTGTACCCAGCCTGTAACTTGTGTTTGTTTTGCTTTTTCACTTTTTTTTTTTTTAAATTAAAATGTTAGAACTTGCAGCAAGACGTTTATCTTCATGTGAAAGCAAGTGAGCAAGCCCTTTCACGTGTCACACACTTCACCGGATCTTAACAACCTCCGTGGTGCCTTGCAGAGCTATTGTTGCCCTAATTTTTGTATCTGATTTGAGAAAAATTAACACCTGTGTACAGTTTATAATGGATTTTCCCCTTTGCCGTTCACATTTGAAGTCTCAAGATTCTCTCGCTACGGGAGAAATAGAAGCAGTAGAGTAGAATAATCACTTGTGTTGTATTTATTCTTTTCCGTAATGAATGTAACATCATGTGAACTCTTGAACAAATAAATGGGTGCACGAGACAAGGGGTCAGCAGTCATACACAGTGATAAATGGAAGCCAGCTGTATCCACGTGTTGCGTCGTTAATTATCCAGTGATGATTCTGGCAACACGTGTGAAGTCAAGAAAACTTCCCTGGGGAGCAAGACGAACAAAAGCATTTAATTTTCGACGTGATGGAGCAACAGGAGGACCAGCAGACAAGACTACTGGGCTCGCCACAGGTGGCAAGTGGTTAAAGTCCATCCGAAACCTACCGTCGTCCTCACAGAAAGGGGCCCCTCTTAAGCTTCTGTGGCCGGGCCCTTCGTGCCTTTGGGCTTTCCATTTAAAAAAAAAATTTAAAAAAAAAATAAAAAAAAAATAAAAATCAGGTAAAATTCTTTTGCAACGTGACAGAGTTCATGCAGTGTGTTTGCGTGCTTGTTGTTAGAGCTGTTGTGGTGTAATGAGCCCTCACCTGTGTGTTGTTGTGCATGAGTGAGTCGTGCCCTGGTTTGCATTAGATGCTGCATGCGCTGTCTGTTGTACACCCGGGTCTGGGCTGCAGGGATGCACGTTCACTGGCGTTTAATGGAGCGCCACCATTTTTCTGCATGCAGAAAACCGCACCTCCCCACGCTGAGTGAAACACTGTGTTGCATGCTGCCTTAATAGCAAGTAGATCAGAGGACTAAGATGCTTCACACCAGTGCTGGACCCAAACCCAGACTCTGATCCCAGCCCTCTCCACGAACTGTGTTGGGCTGAATGACTGGAGGGAAGTTCCTCTCCAAAGCTGTGGCCTGAGCTTTGTTAATGAAATTATCAAACTGAATCCATTTATGCTGATATCCCAAGCTTTTAGGGGAGGGATGGTAGAAATCCGAATTTCAGAGCTGGATTTGAGTCCAGTGCTAAACGACACGAATGAAGCTCGGTTGATGTGTTTCAACTACCTCTCTATTCTTTGCAGATATCCACTGTCAGCAAGCAACACTGAAAGAAAGGATGGAAGACACTGAAAAGGAAGAATGTTTCTCCTGTAATTTTTTGAAGGTGGATAGGTAATGTGTTATCTGCAGGGAATTCTATGTTCAGTGTCCTCCTTAACAGGCTGTCTTGCTTAGAAGGTGAGTGCAGTTCACCTCTGCCTTCTGCTCTGCGTATTCTGGCTATGGGGTGGTGCTTAGGGGATGGCAGAACACATAAACCATCTGGATGCACAGCTGTAGGCAGGAGGGAATGTGCACAGTTGCTTCAGAGTCAAAACTCTAGGAAGCAGGGGGTGCTGACTACTGCAGGGTTCACCAGGAAACAAGATTCTCAAAAGTGGATGGAGGCATCCTTATAATTCACACAGCACACCACTAAGTGGGGCAATGACAGATACAGTGCCTGATAGTTAGAGAATAATTTACATTTGCTAGTTAAGCTGTCATTAGCACAGAAATGGGGTAGAATAAATAGGATTTTGTATGCCTAACACTGGAATCTTTCATTTTTGAAGTAGTATTAGGGTAGAAAATGTTACCCAGTGTTTGGAAGAATTTGACTAATATATGGTAATGCAAAGCTGGAGTGAGAGCAACCAATTGAGCTCACATGCCTTTGTAAGAAAACAAAGAGCCTCTCAGGGGATGGAGAGGGTGTAAAGCTGAAAGCCAAAAAGTCAGGGAAGCAGTTATGTGGATGGTTGTACCCTGGGTTTTCAGAAAGCTGGTGGCTCAGAAGTAGGACTTGAGGAGGAGTGGTCTTAACACGTTTTAAATGCAAATTGCAGTACAAAGTTAATGACTGCCTAGAAACTTGGAGACACTCTCATGTTCTGCTAGTAGCACCTGGCAGCTTGATTACACACAGAAATGATGGCTTAAGGAGTTTATGTGTCATTCTCATGACACATCCAGCCACACAAGACAGTTCATCACCACTGGACAGTCCTTTTTGGCAAACACAGCTTGCATATTTAAAAAACTGTCTTATGCAGTTATTCAAAAGGGCATCAGTAGAACTACAATAATCTAATAAAAAAAACGAGCTTTGGTAAGATATCTGTCTCTGAAGTCCTGCTTTGGATGTGAAGCCAATTAGAGGTGAGAGAAAAACATTTGTTAGACTAAATTTTTTTTCATTTTACATTTGTAAGGTTTTATGTCGTCCTTTGAAATATCTGCTGTGCACTCCTCTTTGACAGAGAAGATACCTTAGTAAATGAACCTGAGACTGGACCCAGTTTGGGGGTTATTATGATCCTGATTTAGCAACAGAAAACAGTTTCAATTTCCCTGTCTCCATCTCTCTGACCTATACTAGGATAAATAGGCTAGAGACCAGGCTGAGGGGAAAAGAGCCTAAAGGCCACAAAAGAAGTTAAAGGGTTGAGCTACTTAACAGATCTAAACCTTCAGGTACATTGTGTTTTTTTAGATTTTTAGGGGTCATTGACCAGAGTCCTGAGAGATGGAAGGTTGTGTATAAGAAAGGTTGTGTAGGTGTGCGTTCAACGCCAAGGTTTTATACACTCCTGCCCTATGTCCATAACAGCTGTGTGTTCATGTGGAGTTAAGAGATATATCTAAATAAGGTGTGCTGCTGGGTAAACAAGTCTCACTCTACATTACTTAAATAAGATTATTGCTCAGAACTACTGCATTGGAAGAAGTCATAAAGATCAGGTGGACTTTTCTGTTACCGATGAATGAAACTGGGTTTCTGAAATTTACTCACATGCTATAAAAGAAGGTGCAAATTGCACAGAAATTGTCCCAATTATTCCTTAAAGTTAGGTCATCTATAAATACTAAGAACAGAGCTGTCATTGAACATACCAATGGATAAAAAGTCTCTTTGGCAGTAAAAGCAAAGGAGTCCTCACAAGTGCACTGATTTCTCTTAGGAGTTGAATGGGAAGTCTCACACTGAAGATGCAGGAGCATAAGGATAACTATCATTACATAGATTGCATGCTAAATACCTAATGGCATGTGGTACTCTGTGTCTAACAGTTGCCAAAGTCAACAGTTTTACTGTATAAACTTTATTCAATAAAACAAAAATTATGATGGCCAGCTTCCTTTCATTTTCTGCTTGTAGATTTCCTACACGTGAAAAAACTCCATTGGAAGAAACGAAACGAGGAGCTGACAAAAAGAAAAAGAAGACTGTCGTCTCCTTGCTCTGCAACTGATGCCACATCAGCTCTGTGTGACAGACACACCTGCTGATGTCACCTTATTCCACAGACCTTTTCTTCCAGGCTTCCCAAGTTGGCATTTGAAGTTCTGTGAACAGAAATGCAATGGTGTAGTGTTCAGAGATTGTCAGTGTCCCCTGTCCTACTTCAGACAGCACATGCTCGTTATGCCTGTTTTGCAAATGAACAAACAGCGTTTAAATTATTAAACAGATTTCTAAAAATGTATTTCTTGTCTCTGTTGGGTTTTTTTTCAGAAGCAAGTTATTTTTATATTTAGTACAGACTTTTGTTTCTCCTCAGGAAATACTGGTACAATACTTGGTAATGATTTAGAAGTTATTAAAATTGACAGGAACATAGTATTGAGTCTTCTGTACAGTTCTTCTGGTCGTGTCATGCTTTCATTTAGAAAATCCACCTTTTGATGTCTGCTTTTTTTAACCTGTGAAGCCCTAAGCTTTGGAGGTGAAAAAGGTAAAGTTGAGAACTACAGGATACTAAAATATCTTAAGAGAATGCTAGATGGCTTTAAGTATTGTGATACAAAACATTTCAGACTAAAGACGAGTCACATTTTCTTGTCTCATTATTTGGCATGGCTTTACTTTTTCCAAATATGTTGAGAAAATCTGTGCTGTTTGTATGTGCCTGTCATTTCCCTGAAATATGAGTTCCAGAGTTCTGGTTTTTAGTCAATTAAATCGAATTAATTAAGAACAGCAACAACAAAACATCACAGTCAGAAAAATATTTGAAACCACAAGAATGGAGAGTATTTTCGTGTGATGGTGCTCCATAGAGGAGCAGATCTGAGCTTCCTGAGAGGGCTGCTTTAGGTAACGGAGAAAAATATCACTAAAGCTATGAAAGCTACCAGGCTTTTTAATGGAGCAAAATAGCAACGTAAAATGTCCTTTTTTCTGACTCAGATGTCAAGCCACTTTAAAGCAGAACAGCACAGTTTCAGAAAATGCATATTGGTAATTTTTTTACTTGGATACTCTTGCCTGCTGAAATTATATTCGAAATACAGCAACATGTTTTGTGCCAAGAAAGTGACTCCAGAGTATGACCATCTGCAAAGCAGAAGATGCTCCTGGACAGATCTGGAACTCAACGTGTGGTCCCCACTGCAGACAGTGCAGTCACTAATTTTACAAGAGATCGGCCTCACTCTACACTGTTTTTTGTCTGAGCCTAACTAATGAAAGAGGATGTGGCTTGGAAAGGTGTAATGTGTGTCTGTGTCAAATAACTTTATGATTGGAAAGGAAGCAAATGTAGTTGCATACAACTTTTCCAAACTCCGTGCAACAGTTAGCCATGTAGATATATCCAGAACTTCTGCCTTCCTTGGGCAAGCATTTCCACACACAGGTGATGGCACTCTCAGTGTAGCAGCACTATCTGTTTCTGGGCTTGATTTGTGGATTTTTGTGCTGCTGAGGCATTTTGAAAATTGATTTGCTGAAAAAAAAAGAAGCTTACGTCTGCCCTGTACTGCCTGGCCATGCAAGGTGGAAAGAAATCTTCAGGCTTTCTTTTCCACATCACCAGGCTATCTGTGTAAAGACACCCCTGCCCCATCCTCCTAGAATATTCTGAATGGAGGGGTCTGGGAACTGTCATAGAATCATTGAATTTTTTGGGTTAGAAGGGATCTTACAGATCATCTAGTTCTAACCCCCATTCCATGACTTTCAGTGGACCAGGTTGCTCAGAGCACCATCCAACCTGATCTTGAACTCTTCCAAAGACAGGGCATCCATGGGTTCTCAGGGCAATCAGTGACAGTGTATCACCACCCTCACAACACAGAATTTTTTTCTAACATCTAATCTGAACCTGCTCCCTTCCAGTTTCCCCTTGTCCTTCCAGTATCTGAAGGGAGCCTACAAGAAAGATGAAGAGAAACTTTTTACAGACTTTTTACATCTAGTGATAGGACATTTAGGTCACCCAAAAGCCTTCTCTATTCCTGTCTGAAAATGCCAGTTCTCTCAGCCTTTCCTTGTAGCACAGGTGATCTAACCATATTGGTGAACCTTGGAAAAACGTACCAGTCAGTGCAGTGGCAGATATTCAGCTGTTCTTTTTCATCTTGTTTTCATCAGATACCTCTTTTAGACCTCTTTACTCCCACGCAGGAAAAGCACTGTGCCTTCTGTTGCAGGTATGCAAGGGGTTTCGATGCCAGGGCACTCTGACTTTGCCTATGCAGAACTGCTCTGGGGATGTATTTTCTGAAGTTCCCAGCATTTTCATTAAAAGCATTGTTAACTCCAACCCTGCAGTTGCTTGAACGCTTTTAGTATTCACAGAGTTTCAGAAACCGAAGCGTCACAGTATTGCCACAGCCTTTGAGAACACTGAGTGCAGCAAAACTGAGATATTTTTCTAAAAGGAAGATAAGTAGCTGGAAAATGTGTAGAACTTTGTTACTGAGCGAGGGGACGTACAGCCCAGCATTTCTGTGCCTCAGTGCTTCCCCTGCTTTGCCAAGGCAGAGTGTAGAAGGAGTAGCCAAGGCTGTCTTGCCAAATCCCTGCCCTGAGCTCAAACCTTTTCAGCATTTCCACTCCTACACCCAAGTGGCGGTTTTGGTCTACAAGGTCTTTGAGTCAGATGAATCTATTGAGTAACACACTTCATGTCTGATTACAAGGAGCTGGCAGACAGAAGAGGTAGTAGCAAAACCACTACAAATCCCAACCCTGTACTAGAAAAATAACAAGATTGCACACCATTTTTGTCAGATGCAGTGGCCTGAAAAATTCTCTTTTATTCCATGTTGCCACTAGAGAGAGAAGATGGTGGAGACAAATAGGAAGAGAAAGGAAATTACATCTGAATTTATCCCTCAAGCACAGTTCATATCTCTGAAATAGAAATCCTTTCTGTGAGAGGCAGAACCTGTGAGGTGTCTCTGTGCACCAGCTGGACCACTGGAGGAGACAAAGAGGATGAAGTGATGTCTCTGTGAGAGCAACCTGGAGACAAAATGCCCGGGAAGCTGAGACACACTTGGTGAAGCAAGAGCCATGAGTCCTCAAGACAGCAGTGGGCTGGAGACTGTCACTGGCCAGGACTGCTCACCCCATTGCCTCCAAAGGACTTGGTTCCATGGAAGAAAGAGACAGGAAACCACAAGTTTTAGCTCAGGAGCCAAAGGGAATGACTCTGTAAAACATAATGGCTGATTGTTTGTCCTGAATCGAAGAAAAGCATTTTTAGTGAATTCTTCTTTTGAGAAGAATAATATTTATTTCTCCTGATTGCATTTTCAGGACTAACCTGTGTCTCGGAAGCATGGTGATCAGTGTGCCTGATGCTTGCTGTGCTCTTATTTCTGAGATGCATCAGAGCTTCTCTTTTAAAGTAATTGCTTTTTACTTGCTCTGTAAGAAAAATTAGTAACTACTTTAACTAAAACACTTGCTTGGAGTCAAAGAAACATCGTGGTGAATGTGGGAACTAAGTACAAGCACCGATCTGTGAAATGGAGTGCTGTTGTAGCCATAATGGTCTGAGTGCATATGCAAAGCAGGGTTTGTAGTGAGAGGCAATTTTGTTGGATAGGCAGATGAAGTTAGGGGGCAAAAAACACCCCCAAAAAATAAGCTATGGAACAAACAAGCTCTCTTCTAGATCTGAAGAAAGGATTGTATGCCTGAAAGCTTTTTTCTTGACCGTCTCTTGCTGTAAGTCTCACACTTCTTCAGAATGGCAGGACTGTAGACCTGGTTCAAGGACTGTTCATACCCACAACAACCCACCCCCCAAAAATAATAAAGTCATATGATTCTTTCAGGTGATTCAAATTTTGGATTGAGCCCTAGGTTAAAGCACCCAAGGCATAACTATATATCTTGCAGTTACTGAGTGCAACCAGATATAACCTGTGACATTTCCTGAGCTGTTACACATTGAATACTGTACAGTATATGAATTTCTCTCCAGACTCCTTTGTTGATCCTGTGTCATCACCTAATGCACAGTTGAAAGACACTGCACATGGCACAAAGTTAACACCTTTTATGTTTATATCCAGATGATGTTTCAAAGTTTTGATTATTTTGACTGTTCTTTAGCTTGTAGTTCACTGTCTGCCATTCTCTTGTTTTCTATTTGCTTGTTGCATAAGGTGTGTGTTATTTACATGGTCTGGGCTCTGAATATAATGTCCTGTTAGTCTCACTACATATTAAAAACAGTTAAATAAGGTCTGGAGCCACCTTTGCTCACTCCTGTGAAATGAGGAATTGCTCTGCAGTATCAGCGGGGCAGGCCTGTTATAGCTTTGTTTGCCGTGGTCAGAGAAAAGTCTCTGTGTGCACAGGAGCAAATTCTAAAGACTGACCAGACTGACTGTTCAGAAAATAAGCTGGTAAATCCTGAGAGGAGCGACAAGGTTTGTTTGTAGCAGTATGATTTCGAGGGTTTTTGTGGTACACACTCTTCTATGAGAGGGTATAACTTCAAATCACTTTTGAACGTGCGTTTCTTTCAGTCAACCCGAGTGCAATGGGATGAATGAAGAGACATTATAAAGCTGAAGGAAAATGTTGTTGGCATTAACTTTGCTTGCAATATAAAAATAAGGCTACTAATAAATTATTCAGGTGGCATTGAACAGATATCAGTTAAAATTTTGTGTATCACAGGTATTATATACAACATGCATATTGTTTTAGGGTTGTTTTAGGAATGTTTTAGGGTTCTGATACTGTCTAAAGCCTTGTGGTTTTCCTCTGACTGGATAAATGCACAGTATAGCAGTGAGAAAAATGACCCTTTCTAACTCTTACATTACAAGAAACATTTTTTTTTTTAAAAAAGGTGTTAAGCAATGTGCAAAAATGAGGCTTGGAAGAAGGCATTAAGACTAATATTTCTATTTACAGTGAGAAAAATCTCTTTTCAATAGAGCAAAAAAACATTTTCTTTTTTGAGGAGAAAGCTAACTGACCTGCTAACTATCCTCACTTGTGAACAGAAATATGGTCCGAAGCTGTTCTCTCCAGTGCATTTGAAGCGTAATGAAGAAATCCACACATTAATTTGCCATAAAGCTATTTTCTGTCTCTTCAGGGAAGCAATCAGTCGTGTTTGTGAAGCCGTGCCTGGTGCCAAAGGAGCCTTCAAGAAACGAAAGGTATTTTTCTTTTCTTGTAGTGCAGTTGACTCTATTTTCTTAGTTCAGCACAGAGGAGACCAGGCACAGCAGGCAGGTGACTTTAAAGCAGCTCTGAGAATTGCAGATCATTAATCATGTAAAGTATTGGCTGTTTTCACCCACAGTATGCTGTCGCTTGCCCTTTTCATCAGGATCTGCTTTTTTAGGCATCTGGAACCATGAATACATCTAGGATGAAGATTTGAAGATTGTGCCTTTATGTGGCTTCTGTAGAAACCCCGGTTTTTTTTTTGTTTGGTTTGTGGGTTTTTTGTTTGTTTGTTTGTTTGTTTTTGTTTTGGGGGGTTTTGTTTGTTTGTTTTTTTGTAGATCACATGTGGAAGAGTTAAAACAAACAAAAGGGAAAATGGCTTTTCATAGAATGCATGAGTAAGTTGTGGGAAAAGCTGCTGGAAGATAGAGCAGAAGCCAAAAAACATACAGAGTTTTGAAAGTGGTTAGGTCAGTTCTTTGAGCATGGCTCTACTGGTGACATTTAATGAGTTTGGTTATCACTGATTTCTGGGAACGGAGAGAACATATGAGGTGATCCTTTGTTCCCTGTGCCCTTTCCATGTGGCTGACTCTTAGTGGCCAGCACTTATGGTGAGTCCAGTGTGTCCCTGACACGGTTATTGTCATGCTTTTATTTTTATTTGTGTGGTAGGAGTTAGAATCTTCAGGCAGGGAGCGGAGTAAGCCTTGGCTCAGCTCATGCACTGGTGGCTCTCAACAGTCTTGCTCTGCCTGCTCTTCCAGAGGCCTGCTGGCAAAGCTGGGATACACTGCTAACTCTAAGGCAAGAAGCATAGAAAGCAAAGCAGTTAATTACAGTTCTTGGGCGCAGGAGGAGAGAGGGGAGGTGAGCAAAAAGGTCTGTCCACTTCCCCAGCTGCTGCACCGTCTAGGCAGGATCTCAGTAGAAAGGGATGGGACGAAATGACACTTGTTTGCACAGGAGAATCTTCCTCTGGTGAAATTTGACATATGTGACAACATATGTCATGGTGCAATTGGAAATTATCTCAGAAATTTCCCCACCACCAAATTTCTCATGTTGGCATTTCTTGGTTCTCAGGCTTTTTGTTTTAGTACTGAAAGTAAAGACAAAAGTACCTTGTTTCCTTGGACAGCAAAATGACACAATTGGAAAAGTAAATTAAACAGAGTTCCAACTGCCTAGTGAGACAGCTTGCTGTATTACAGGTTTTAGAGGCGATGTTGCTTACTAGTTCTTGAAAAGGAATAGCAACAGAACTTAGCTAGATGTCAAAGATAGATCTCTTTTGCTGGTCTATACCTTCATCCTGTTTTTGCCACTAGTGGCTTGTCGAATTTGTTAAGGTGACATGTGCTTCCTGAGGGCGTGTTTTCACGTTTTAACCACGCTGTGGGCACCTGATCCTTAGGCAGGATCATGAAGAATTGAGGAAAAAAACCGAGATATACAAGAGTATTCAAAATAAGTTGTTTTATTGAGAAGTTAATGAATTACCAGCTCTGCAACATGACAATGTTAAAATAGTGCAGCACAAATGTTACAGGGGAGCAGGACGTAGGTAGTGTATTTTTTAATTAGTTAAAGAAAAGAAGCTAAAACTAAATGTGTGTAAACTTTAAGGTCTACAAAAGCACAGGCATGTCCATCCTGCTATGAATAAAACTTTCCAAGCTTGCAGGCAGCTTAGGAGAAATGCAAATACAGTGGCAGAAGAACACTGCCTCCAGTCACAGCTTTGCTTTTATATCTCAACGACCAGCATAAATACTCACCAGAGCAAATTCAGCAAGTAGAAGGGCCTGGTCTGTTACTGCTGGGCACCCTGATTTTGCATAGGTTGTGGTTTACCTGAATGAGGCTGTTCTCATTCCAGCTGTGTGGTTCTGCAAAGCTGTCAAAGGTGAGAAGTTTGTGAATTTTGCTTTGTCAACGTAACTTGTATTGCTACAAAACCTCCTGGGAGCTAGTGAAGTGCCTACAAAAGTTATTGTTATTGTTACATCCCCCTTATTACATTCCAACACTTTCTACTTGTTCTCGGGGTTAGGAGTAATCTTTAGCTGCGTGTGGTGCCCCAGCCTACTGAGATTTTATTTAGCCTGTGTCTGGGCTTTCACCTACTGCTAAGGAGTCTGCAAGCAAAATCATAGAATGGTTTGGGTTGGAGGAGATCTTTAAAGGTCCTCTAGTCCATAACACACTATATCCCATTTTGTAAGCATCCCATTAGTTTCCCTGGACTCCCACTTTCCACTTGGGGAGCAGGTGGAAGAGTCAGCAGATGCAGAGAACAGATTTCTTTTCAAGAGCTGAAGCTATTTTTACAGAACAAGAACATTATCGTTTTAAGATACTGACTGAAGGCATTCATCTTAGTCTGATTACTTTGTCCCTTAGTGAAGGTGAGAGTTTGCTGCCTTACAAACCCCCTATTTTCTATCAAGTCTTCTTTTGTGTCATGTATTCCTATTTTGTTGGGTCAAGAGCAGATGACTACCTGCCTTTCTAGTATCATCAGTAGGAGCAGTAGTAGTATAAATGAGAAACCATTTCCAGGGGAAAGCAGCCGTTGTAAGTAAATGTTCTTTGAAAGTCATAAACCTTTTAGAGGCCCTGCATACAATGAAGGTCATCCCGAATAAACAGAGAACAAAAATCTGCTTTTTTCCCCCCCTTCTCACAGCCACCAAGCAAAGCCCTTTCTAGCATCTTGGGAAAGAGCAATCTTCAGTTTGCAGGAATGAGCATAATGTTGAATATCTCCACCACCAGCTTAAATCTAATGAATCCTGATACGAAACAGGTGAGTGCAACTTCTGTATTAATTTGTATGGTTTTTGGTGAACAGCCTGCTGTTGTCTGTCAAACAGTTTCTCAAAGTTATTATTCTTCAATAATGTCTATAAAATGAATAAATAAAAAATATGAATCATAGTAGAAGTCAGCTTATTCCAGTATTCAGCACAGCTGTCATGAATGATATCCTTCTTGACATGTTTCTGGTGGAGTGGTTTTGCTTTTATAAGACCTATAACATAAAATGTCATTTTCTGGTCTTGGTAGTTCTCATTGGGTACAATAACAAACTTCCAGGGTGGTAAAAGGGATGTGCTTGGAGTAACCAACTAAAGGACTGAATGTATATCCCCAGTTTTGTTGTTTTCTTTCCATTTAGAGTCTAAAAGGGCAAACCATTCCTGAGGCACTGCTAAAAATACTGCCTCAGGCATTTTGCAGTGCAGTGAAAGGCCAGTCTTTCACAGAGACAAGGCAGCCTTTTTCAAGTAGCTTATTCCTTCTTCTTCTTCTTCGCTGTGCTGAAGGAACAGACACACTTTGGGGAATCACTGCAGTGGTTTGTGAATGATGTATGAGATGAGAAAAATCCTTGCTGAGGGTGTGCAGAGAGAAAGCAGACGGACATGCGCAGTCCCTGCTGTGCTATTTGCTGCCAGCCTCATATTCTGTAAGGGCACACGACTTTCTGCCCAGATACAGCTGGGGAGGGAAACAATAAACTTCCTGTGGTCCTTCGGAGCGCCAGGATTAAAGATTAAGAAAGAATATGTACACCGTACGCTAAAAACCCTTTCTGATTATTATTACTGTGCTTTCATTCATTTGTTGTCGTTCTTATCCTTGCTCAGAAAACATCCAGCTCCTCTGCAGTGAGCACTGAGACGCTGGGAGCAGTGCTGTGGCTGGTTGCAGTAGTCTGTAGCCTTGCTGTGGAATATACACAGCAGTGCTTCTCACAGGGACAGTTGCCCCCAGTCAGAAACACGGGAACCTGATGTTAATTAGGTCTACTAAGAAAGTGCCAAACCCTGGAAGTCGCCTTGTCTTCCGCCAGTGCCAGGGCAGAATTGTAGTTAGACTGATTTATCCCAGAGAAGAGTCATCCCCCAGATGTTTTGCCTTTTCTCTGAGCTGACAAAACTCTTCATCTTTCTCTCACATAATTCTTTTCGAGATATAGGCTTTTCTGGGTGCTGCTGGCCTGGGAACCGTCTGGTTTCTCAGAGGTCCCTAGTCTGGCTGTGGTCTCCCCTGTTTCTTGTTTGTGCCAAGCATTTGATTTGCAAATAAGAATGGCCCGGCAGCTTTGCCCTTTGAGGCCCCACAGAGGAAGAAGGCTGTGAACTCCTGTAATAGCCTCTTTTTCCCAGGGGAGCTGAAAAGAAAGAAAAGACAAGACAGCGTTGTTGGCCCTTAGGGTAGAAGGAAAGCACTTGCATATGCTGCAACAACAGTTTGTGAGTATGTTAAGCAGGGCTGAGTGGAAGATGATTTTGCTTTGTATATTCCTTTAAAAAAAAAAATCTGACTTGATCTAATGGTTTAGAAAACTTTTCAGTTTTCTTAAAATTTGGAAAAATTGGTTTAGAGTCAATCTGAAATAATTTTTGCTTTATATGATGCTGAAGTAAAAGATTGGGTTATTTGCACAAGTCAGAGTAGTGACAATATTAAATGTGTAACAGATCTTCAGTACTTCATTTCTATTGTTAGGATTAATTCTTCTTTATGGGAAAAAGAGAAGGAAATCCTCACTGATGAGTAATGGAACACTAATTCACCAGTGAACACTTAAAAACTAACCACATCTTCAGAGGCTGCTGTGAGACAAGCAGGGCTATTGAAAATGAAGTGCTCTTTACATGAAAGAAACACTGCAAATAGTTATCAACTCACTCTGACTTAATGAAGCAGCAAGATCCAGAGAAAGTCATGTCAGGGTTTTTTCTTTCCAAGGAGGATAGTTGCTAGTTGAGGTCTTTAAGATGCAGGATAGGGAAAACAGCCCAGAGAATATATTTTAACCTTTTTTTTTCCCCAAAAACCAGTTTTCTAAAGTATGTGGTTTCCTCTCCAAACTGAGATACTAATTCTATTCTCACATGCTTTGAGGCGCTAAATAGAGGCCTGTCCTCTCCCAGATGAATTCCTTGGCATGCATTATGTGACTCAAATATCAAGTGAAAGTTTCTTTCAAATGACCTTTTCTTTCTTGATTATTACATGATTTCATTATTAAAAGATTTCATAAGTTAAATCTCAGAATGGCAGAGCTGTTCTGCTAGTATTGTATGTTCAGGACAATTTGTCTCTTCCCAGAGAAATATTGTATTAGTTCAAATTGTGCATAAGCAATTTGAATTTCAAATGCCCTGGAGTATGCCTTTGATTTTGTCCACAACGCTACAGTGCAGCCAGAGTAAAATTTTTGTTTGCATATTGCAAACACTGATGTTTGAAACATAAAATGGCACAGTGTGTGTTGGAAACAATGTTAGGAACCCTAGCTGGGTGTACAGATTGGCATGGTTTCATTGATTTCACCAGAGTGGCATCAGCAGAAAAATGTTTTGATCAATAGGACCTTTTGCTTCATTCATCATTAGCTGTAACAAAGAAAGGGAGTCTTAGCTGATTAAAATTTCTCCAAAGATACTGTCTGACAGATCTGTATGATTTACTGGAGTTCTGAGCACATTTAGCAATTTTGCAGTGTCCTGACACGTTTTAAAGAACACCGGAATAGATTCATCGATTCTTAGGTTTGTTTATATTATTACGCTACTCTCTGTACTCCCTGTAGGTCAGTTTGACCTTGATTTTGGGTTACATACACAAACCAAAAGAGAAATCGAAAGTGTAAACTGTAAGAAAACCATCTGACTCACACTTCTTCTTTCTGATCCATACAGATCATAGCAAACCACCATATGCAATCCATTTCCTTTGCGTCTGGAGGTGACCCGGTAAGCACTTTTTGGAAGCCTTCCCCCACACGGATATTGCTTTGTGAGGACTGTGGGACAGAATTTATTGCGTATCCTACTGAAAGAAAGGAAAAAAAAGAAAAATACAACCACAGTAGCTCCTGTTTCTTGTTTCATAAATTCATCTCGATCATTGCCATCAAACTCTTTTTGAGGGGAGTGACTGACAAGATTCTCCTCTTTGAATGACTGAAAGTATCGAGGGATTGAGAGCATTTGTGTAGTAACTGATGAGCACCACTTTGCTTCTCAGAGTATCGTAGTACAGTCATATGGGATTGTATGAATTTTTATCCTGTTTTTATTTTGCACTTTTTGCAGTAATGGACTATGTTGCAGTTATAGTCATGCATACGCTTTTTGTTTGTTGTTTTTTTTTCCCCTTCACGTCTTCACGTGTGCATTGAGAAGGCTACTAAATACTGCCTGCAGGTGTATTTGCTGCACTCATGAGGCTTGAAGGCAGGCTTTCAGGAAGCCCAGATCTTACTTTTTTGTTTTGCAAAGCTTTCAGTTTTCAATTCAGCTTTCAATTTTACACATTTGGTTCCTTCGGAGCAAAGGGCAGATTCCTGCTTGTTGCGCTTTTCCTTATTTTTATGAGCTGTCTATTGAAGGTATATTAATAAATGTGCTTTAGAAGTATTTGCCACTCAGGAAGCAATGGGAGAATTATAAAATATTGACATTGCTCACCTTTTACCTTAGAGGTTTGAAAGCTTTTAAACCTAGATTAATTGAATGAGTGCCTTTTCCTCCATCATATGATCATCCATGATTTATCACTCGTGTACTACAGGTAAGGCAATTTCTAGCCTGCTTTGTGAGTTAATTCTCTCAGTTCAACCCTGTTAAGGTAAGGATCCTCGGCACTTTCTCTGTTCATTTTGCTGTCCTCAGGAAACATGAAGGCAGTCTTCAGTCGTAGTACAGCTTTGCAGAGTTCAGTACAGTTACGGAAGGGAAAAGGACACCATATCATAATAATTTGGGGAACAAAATATGGATCAACAGCAGCTTTGAAATACAACAGATTGCAGTGTGTGCTGTAAATGAACAATTCCTGAAGTGGGCAGAGGAGTGATTAGCACAGTTCCCTGCCTCCGTAAGAAGATTCTTCGCTGCCCATCTGCCATCCCAAATGCTAAGTCCTGGAAGCACCATTTCACTCTGCCCACTGCTAGAGTGATTTACCAGGAAAGAGGAGAGGAGCAGCAGTAGAGATTGGATTTGGAGTAAACAAGCTCTTCCAAATGTTTCAGAGAGAGAGAGAAAAATCACGCTACTGAGTCAGTGAGCTACCAGGGAAATAAAATTGCATGGTGGAAGGGATCCTACCAGATCCTGTGAAATTGCAAAGCTGTTTTTCTGATAAGGTTACTACTGCATGAATTTGTTCTGGTGTTGGGGGGAAGAGGGTAGCTGTGAGTATCTAATTATGCTCTGCAAGTTCATCTTAGTGATCTAGTATCTGTCACAACTTTAAACCGTAAGCTTGGTCATAAAACAGGTGGTTCCTTTGCCCTAGGTGCACGTAGAAGAAGACAAGATGCAAGGATGTGATTTAAGTCACAACTTTATTTACTCATGAGAGGGCCATCTATGCATAACTTTTATGAGCCCTCAGTGATTTCCACTTGGTGGAGGACTGCTGCCACCAAACTGTATCTCCCAAACACAGCTGGGCTCCAGCCCATAAGCTTATCTCCTCATATGAAATTTAAACTCAATAGAGAAAGTCCATAGTGAGCTAGGAACCTAGATCTACACCCATGTTTCTTCAAAAAGTGCTTCCCTTATTTTGAATTTTGGAGTTTGGTTTATTAGGAAGAGAGACTGCCCTCACCTCTCTACCCCATCCACCTTTCTACTCTGGATATCTGCCTCACATTCATGACAGAAATTATCTTTACAACTTTCCACCCACTCCCATACTGTTAATTATCTTATATTATTCAAAATATAACCACTGGAGAAGTGTTCCACAGTCTTGGAGAAGCTTGAATACATCTATATCTATATCTCTATATCTATATCTATATCTATATATATATACTCCCATTTGCAGTGAGTCAGTTTCTGGCTGTGTCAGTACATGGCAGCTTAAAAATGTCCCCACCAAATCCTTTTACACACCATTTCAAAAACATTTTTAGTTCACTTCCAAGACTGTGTTCTGGATTTGCTGTAGCTCTCTTCAGCCCCTCCTTATGATACACTAAACAATTTTCATCCATACTAATTGCAGGTGGTTGTTTCCAGGCTGCTAGACAAGACATCTGTTTTTGGAGATTTCTGCTGAAATACGAGAGTGGAGGATTTCATGAGGTCTAATAAGGCAGGTCTCTCAGAGGTCCCTGAAGGCAGTAGTTTTCCAGTTTCAGCCACACCTCCAAATTTTACCACCACGATGCAATTTCTTAGGGGTGGTAATTACAGCTCATTCATACTTGTACTCGGGCCTGAAATGTCAAGGATTGCTCTACTGCATCAGCCCATCTTCATGTAGTTTTTGGTTGGGAATCTTCTAAATTAGACACTGTGCAATGTGCCCACATTAAGTCCTTAATGGTTTGTCATAGTCAACTTCAATCTGAACTTTTGAGGAAATAAAGAGTAGTTAGTTCCAGGCTGTCACGTCCACACTAACTATGAGATAGATCTATGATTTACCCAGTCGTTAACGCATCCATTAGCTATGCCTGAACTAGTAAATAAATTGATCTGATTTCTGGCCCTTCTGGCCCTGCAACTAAATAGCACAGTGCACTTTGCATCCAAACATTCACTCTCTTCCCTTGTAGTGGTCTCTTGGGATCGATGCCCAGCATGTGCTGGTCCCTCAGAGAGTTTCAGAGCATGGCATGAGAAACCAGCACAGAGAGGCAGGGGAGAGTAGCAACAGTAAAACAGTATGGACAACTATGAAACAACTCTCAGGCCTTTATCTTGGCTGTGTTTTTTTTTTTTTGCTATAGACATAGACACCTTTCTTGTGCCCTTACTTGCTGATATGCGTCCTTATTTCCACTTCAGTCATTGCCCAGACACCGTGTCACAGGATGCACCAGAAATTACTGGACAAAATGCTAGGGCCATTCTTCTCCACTTTTTTTACAGGACAACCTCATTGCTGCTGTGTCTGAGTGTCTTCCAGTAGTCTGTTAAGGGACATGGCTACACATCTGTCACCAGAACCATGAATTTGCTTCATCGTTTCCCTTGCTCTCTCCTTAGGACAGAAACTGTACAGACATGCAGCACAGTGATTTGTTTGGGGTGGGTGGTTGGGGTGTGTTGCTTGCATTGGAGAAAGCTAAGCTAAAGAAACCTGTCTTTTAACAGATTTAACAGATTCGTGTTTGTTATGGCATTAGATCTGGGCAAGATTGCCAGTGATCTGGGGTCAGTCACCTAAAAAGGCTTTGGATAGATTTATACAGCCAGCTGTAGTGTATCCCATGCATCCCTCAGGTGTAGCTGTATCTGACTAGCCAGGCATGTCAGGAAACACCAGATCTAACCAGGACTTCATGACTGCATCAAGGCTGTGTGGCCTGAATGTTTCCCAGAAACACTGCCCTTTCTGTTCCATCTGCACGACGACACAAGCCTCCACCACTTATGGCAAGAGAGCAAGCAAAAAACCCTTGATGAAGATGTTCTGCCTACTCTTGCCTGAAAATCCACCTGGCATGTGGCAATGGCTGAGGCAAGGAGCAGCCCATGGCCTAGGGGAGAGCGTGCTGGGATTCTGCTGGTCCCAGCCAAGCAGGGGCTGACCACCTCTGTGCCACATGGTCTAGTAGTCAGCAACAAACCTGCTTTCACACAAGAATAAATACCACTGCTCACTGTTTCTGGGGAGCAGGGCTGTTACCCCCACTCTTTCTGCCGCAGAACCAGTTGGTTATTTATGTTCTGAACCAAAATCTCTGGGCAGTTTGAAAATAAGGGCTTGTAATTCTACCCCCTCCTAAATGAGGCCCAATCCAAATCCTGCTGAGTTTGTTTAATTGATTCTCAAAGGCCTTGGAAGAGATTCCTGGAATAGATCACATCCTGGAGAAAGTGGTGCAATCAGTACCAAAACCCATAAACATTTATATGGGGTTTAATTAGTATACAACTGAAGAGCAAAACATGTCATTTCAGGCTCTACCCACAGGAATATACGTACTCTGGACTGTGATCTTTTGCTGTGATCAGTGCAAATATTTTTTGCATTCATTGTAGATATCTTAATTTTTTGACAGGATACAACTGACTATATTGCATATGTAGCTAAGGATCCCGTTAATCGGAGAGGTAAGTTAGAAATATCTATTTGACATTTGTTTTTCCTTTGGGAAACACAAATTATTCATGGTTTGAGTCAGATTTTTTTTTTTCTCCCAGAAAATATAAATGCAGCCCAATAAAAAGATTGCCTTTGACAGAGTCATGAAAAGACTGCGTAGCAATAAGAAGCAGCAGTTTGGTTCTCAAACTTGGAACAGGTCTTGCCTCTTCTTCATATCCAGATATCACTTTGATTCTCTTAATCTCTAAAATCAAACACTTGCTTTACTTGGCTGCATGAGCTTCTAGGCAACAGCTAAATCTTACCTACACCCAATCACCATGCAAGAACTAAACAGTCCTCTGACTAAGTCATCTGAGGAGGCAGCTGAATCTGTAAGGTCTTCTCAGTACATGCCTAATTCTTCCTGGCAGAATCACATTCCTTACCAAATAGTGAGCTTTCAGGCAACTTGCTGTAACTCTCTTTCTCAGTGAAGTTTTATTCAAGGTTGCATTGCTCTAGCAGCAGTCGGTGAGGGACAGGGACCTTCTTGTTGACTGTCTTCAAAAGCTAAGGCACAGCTCACGTTCTCAAAAAATAAACTGTAAGAATCGTAAATTACAGTCTGAAATAACAGGTGCAAAAGACATTCCTGCTTGTAATGCAGAAAGCATCATTAGGTCTTAATGCAAGATATGAAGTATTGTGTAATATACCTGAGAATCTATTTTATTGTTTAGATAGTCATAGAGAAGAACGGAGTAGTGCCAAAAAAAGCCTAACAAAAAGTACTTCCAGCTGGATTTCTAGAGAATTCAGGCACTTTAACTCCAAAATGCCAACTCTGCAAACCCTGGGCTGCCAATCTTACCATTGAAACAACCAATTTAGTATATCTTCCATATTTTGTCATCTTTAATGATATCAGGTACCTGAAGAATCTGCTGTGCCCATGTGCAGAGATGTCCAGACTTGAGATCATTGCCTCATAAATAAATAATACTTACACTAAACATACTAATATTCTGAATACTGGTGAAACACCTGGAAAACTTACGGGAATGGGAGGTGTGGAGTTAGTCCAGTTCTTTGCAATGATTGATGTGTTACAACATCATGTGTCCCCCCTCAGGGAGGCTCCAGTGTCAGACTGTGGGATGTGTGGTGCAGAGCTGCTCTCCACCCCACCTGCTTTAGCAGTACCCTTCTGTTAAATCAGAGACTGATTCGGTTGTTCTGAGGGATCTCAGTGACAATGTAGTGGGCTGGCATGGTAGATGTCTGCACTGTACGGCCTGCAGGAGCCCTGTGCTCTGTTTTCTGTTCCTGTGTGAGTGGATTTTTGATAAAAACCGTTTCATATAATATGTTCCTTCTATCTTACATGGGGTATGTTTAGCCTTAACTTCCTGAGGCTGCTCCTTGTTGAGCCAGTCTATCCCAGATTGAGGAGTCACCTGAACACCTCCTTCTGTCATCTTCCTTTGGTGTATTTAGGGAAAGTAATTTCTCTGTTTTCTTTATGAAAAGATTGACAGTGAACTCTGTAGGTCTCCAGCTGCAGTGCACATCCTTCATGCTGCTGATGATTTCTGTACCTCCTTCTTTGATCTTTCTGCATTGTTTCAAAAGGGTATATGACACCTTTATAGCAGGGGCTGCCACTACAGCAGAGGCTGCACCTTCCTAGTGTCTTCCTTGCTTTTGTCCTCATCATTAGCCCTTTCTGCTGCAGTGAAGCCCTGTTATCTTGTGTGAAATTCTTTCATGCTGTGATCTTAAAGCCCTCTGCATCATGACTTTCCTGTGGGTGCTTTCCCCACTCCTGTTTATACGTCAGTGATTTGCAGACCAGTGACTTTTTGCGTGGCCTGTATCAAAACACATTTTTTTAAAAAGGGTCTAATTTATCAAGGGATCTGAACTGCCCTCTTTCACCATCACTTGCCACTGTGTCATTCTTTGTGTTATCTGCAAATTGTATTAGAACAGAATTTGTCTTTATTTCTATATCTAGTGAAAATGTTACTGCTGTTACTGACACTACCACCAGTGCTGTAGTACAGCTTGCATCTCAGACTCTTTTCTTCCCAAGCATGGAAAAGCTGTCTTCATGTTTTGTATTCTGGATCTAGCAAGCTAAAGGCTGTCTATTTTCTGCTGTAACATTCACAAAAAATCATCTCTGTGTGAGCCAAACCTTCTCATCCTTTTACAAGAAGCATATCTCCTACCTGCTGAAAGTCCATTCACGTATCCAAGGAAACAGGTTACTCATTATGTCACCTACTGAAACTACTTAATGACTCATGCTTCATTTCAGCTCCACGCAGGTTTAGCAGTGAGCAATGTAGCCTCCTTAAATCTGAACTCTAGTTTTACAGGGTGCAAATATTTTAGCTTTGTTTGCCCATACTGCTTTTGGTCCACGTTCATGGGGATGCTGACACCAGAGGTGCAGAGGGTGAAAGCGAAAATCCTGCTGCTAGTCAGGGATGTCTGCCTCCAGCTTTGGACACATGGAGGTCCTATTTTTGGCTGTTGAATCCACCTTCAACATGCAGGTAGTGGCCTGCCCCCTGAATCAGGATTTGCCTCGGCTTGCTGGTGGGCACAGCAGGTGCTGCCAGGTGAGAAGAGAACACCACTGTACCTGTTTAGCACTCTGACTGGTGCCACCTCACGCTGTGTGAGCTCCTGCTGAGGAAGAGGCAGCAGGCATTCCACACCTGCACATTCTTGGCCCTTTATTTTGGCCTCTTCAGATGTCTGTCGACTTCTCAGCCTCTGAGAAGTCATTTCTAAACCTACTTAATCTCCTTATGTAACGTTAATTAAAATCGTGTCACACAAATGTGGTGACAAACCCTTATTTGTAGGACATTGGCATCCAAAGAACTTGTTTCCACTGAGCTGGACACTAGGCATGTACTAAAATGCAGTTTTTCAGCTGGAGAGTTTATATTCAGGTTTTAAAGCAGTCTGGGGTGATACAAATTGATGACTTTGAACAAGGACCCACTCTACTGTGTAGGTCTTGGAAAATAACCAGAGTTTCAAATCCAGTCCAGGCTACTGCAAGTAGACCATGTGCTCATCCAGCTCTGAATATGGAAAATTGATTTGCCTGGGCTTTCCCACATATCATGATGAGTGCTGTTCATTCAGATCTTTAGCTTCCAGCTCTTAACACCCGTCTGTGTCCCTGCAGTGTCGAGTCAGTTCCCCATGAATTCACCTCTGTATGTTGTCACATAAGACCTCTGAGCCACTCACTGAGTTAAAACTGTGGCAGATTTGGCTACTCAGACAGCCTGATAAAGATTTCTCAGTCTTCCACAGGAAGAGAGCTCGTGCTGCCAGCCTCCCTCCTTACTGCATCTGTCACAGTGGGTTCAGAGAGGTGGCACACGAGGAAATGCTGGAGTTAATCAGGCTCTGCGCTCCTCAGTGATCCAGCCATTTACTGGGAGCGTCTCCACACAGGGAAGCGGGAAAAGGTACCGAGATCTGTATTCCTGGAATAAGGTCAGGGCCCATGATCTAGAAAGTATTCTGAGTATACACTGCTCCTCCCTCAGACTGTAATTTGGAAAAAGCGATCAGCTTGTGAGCTTGGGGGTGGTTACATACAAAACTGAAGTGGTAATAAAATTGAGGAAACCGAAGAAAGCTTTTATTGTTATTACCATCTATTAATATTTTATATTTTCAACTTAAAGCTTGGATTCTTACGTAATCTACTGCATTCAGGTAATAATGTGCAATTTTATTATATTTTTTGCGTTTGTGGACTTGTTAAAGTAGTAGAACAGATTTGTGATCCTGCCCCTGGCAGTTACACACCAGGGCAACTTTATGTAACCTTTGCAAAGCCACCGTTGCCTGAAATTCACTGGATCAGAACTGGGTTTTGTTGCTTCTAACACGCTTCTAACAGGGCAACTACACTTGACACGTAGGTGTTTTGTCACGGGTCAGCGCATCCCACCGTAACACGAACAATGATTTGCATGTGCATGTGTCGAATCTTTTTCATTTAGCTTGTCATATCCTGGAATGCTGTGATGGCCTGGCCCAGGATGTCATCAGCACCATAGGGCAAGCGTTCGAGCTTCGGTTTAAGCAATATTTGCGGTGCCCCTCTAAGATACCTACTTTCCAGGATAGGTGAGTGCGATTCCAGAAGACTGCTAAAGGACCTCCTTTGGCTTTCTGTTTACGAAACTAAATGTGTGGCAGACAGTATTGCTGGAGACAGATAGGATTTAAATGTTTTTAAAAAGAGATTTCTGCTGAATTAGCGTAGCGGAGTTTACCTAATGAATATGAGAGGAGCACGTTAATTTTAAAAGAAGAGGCTAAATATGGGTTTCACGGCAGTGTTGAAACGGTCACGTGTTTTCTGTTGTGGTTAGTAGGCAGAGTTGGATGGCCAAGAATGGATGTTATTTGTGGCATTTCCTCACTGTTACTGTCATAGCAACTGTGTCAGTTTAGATGGAGTAAGTTAGAGTGCTGGGCTTCCAAAATGACTAATGATGTTTCACTCTTTCTCATATTAGGGTGATGTTTTGGGGAATGTGATGCACTGTGCAGAGGCTTAGACTGCATTGTTCTCTGGAGGATACAAAATCTGTCTGTTTGTGTATGTTTAAAAGCCTGGGATATAGCATTCTGTTTTCTTTGGAGACATATATGCTCACTAATATTAGTATAAATCCCAGTGAGCTGGTACCCTCCACCATCTCTTATATCAAATTAAAACAGGTGTATGGTGAATATAAAATGCTACTATCTGGAAGCATTCTGTATTCATATCTCTTGACTTTGTGAAGTTCTTCCAGATTTATATTGGTGATAGAGCGTATCTTTAGAGATAAAGTGTTAGAGCCTGGTCAGTCAATCAACTCAGACTATTACAAGTGCTATTGTAGGGTTAGATAAAACTGCTTAATTCAATTTGTAGTGGTCTTTAAAGCTAAGTAAAAATATCCTTTACTCAGCATAAAGAATTTTATCCATTGCAAAGGAGGTTTAGATTAGTTTGTCTAAACAGAGAAGGTCTGCTGCATGATCCATTGTTGCTTCCTAACTTATAATGGTAGCTGAGTTGTCCAAATAATACACAGTAGTGATCCCCTCACGGGCAGTCTTAACCTGATGAGAATATCTGTAAGTGCTTTACAAGCGAGGGGCAAAACAAAGCTTCCTTACAGGATGCAGAGTTTTGAGGACCCGTGGACGGAGGAAGATAACGAGGCAACAGAGCATCCCTATTACAACAACATCCCAAATAAAATACCTCCCCCTGGCGGCTTCCTCGATGCCAGGCTCAAAACGAGACTTCCCACTGCCGCAGACACAGCTCAGGTCAGTGCAATTGCATCTCTGCCATCCTGCTGATGGATGCAAAACTTTTAAAAGACACGTGTTTTAAGATGGGATTTACGTTGGGAGCCTTTGTAGCTCACAGCCCTTCATGTATGGCCAGTTTCCTTTTGAACGGGCATTACAGACCTAGGTGGGGGCAATGCATTAGGCAGCTTCAGAACAAGCTAAAGGAGGTGAGTTCCTTGAGGTTTTCAAAGGTTAACCAGGTTCTAGGAGGAGAATACATTGAGGGTAAATATAATTGTACAAACCATGTGTGCTTCAGAGAGCACAGAATCCTGTACACTAACTGGGAATGATTTAATGCAGAATCACTTAAACAATCCAGTGCAGTTATTGCTAACAGTTCATTCTGTTAATTCCTAGCTTGGTTTTCCACCTCGTGTTGAACTAAGGTCAGCTTGGATATTTCTACCAACATTCTTGTCAGAAGTCTGACCACAGTATCAACATGGTCACTTAAGGGGAGTTTTCAAATCCAGCACAACTCTGCTCAAGTCCAGATGCCTGTAGACAACATCCTCCCTTCAGTGCCCAGGTGCCTTCCCTGGTACCAATGTGGGTCTTTCAGCTCGTGGTTTGAAGTGTGCTGGGGCTGTCTTCTGGTCCCAGGCATGTTTCTGTGGAGTGCTTTTCCCAGGAACAGTGTGCCAGGGCTTGTTATGTGAAAGAAAAATGTACTGAAAGAGGTGATGCATATCCCTCGGTATTGAGGAGGTTAATAAAAGCAGGAAGTAGGGAAGTATACATAAATATCACTGGTAATATCTTACCCTCACACAAATTTATTTGGGTTATCTATATTCTGATACCATGATGAATCAGAAAGGAAGAGTGTGAGCACACAGAATACAGCCAAGGAAATTGTCAGAGCCACTGATAATGTATCTGAGCATTTTAAAGGCAATTGAAAATTTCCTTGCACATGTCCATTCTAGTCTGCAACAGGAGTGGGAAGAGAGCAAATTTATTATCAGAGCCATCACTTAGGAGACAAATCCAGTGAAGAATGGCATCATGAGCCTGTTACACAAGGTGAGTTTTGCTACTTTTAGCTGTAATACTTCAGGTGGTCTTGGGTGGGCAAAGCATGTGAACGTCTGATGCCTCTTAAAGCAGTGAACTGCATCTTTTTTGATAGGTTCCCTTTGTCTGAGTTTTAGTGTTGATACCAGTAAAATGCATTTGTTAATTACCTCTGGATAAATTATTAAACGCATGCCTACATAAAATATTTTCTTTCTGCAGAACTGTTCATAAATAGAGTTGCCTGAATCTTCATCTTCCTAACTTTCTATGTCCTAAAACCCTGTGATATTAAAAGGCAGACTGCATGGTCTGTTCTGAAAATCTGACCTACTGGGGTATATGCAAGATGGAATTTTTAAAGGAAAGGCCTAAAGTGAGAAGTTTCATTTGAAATGTGAAGCAGTGCTCTCTGCTCCAAAAATAGCAAATAATGTATAATGGGAGTTTTTGTTGTTGTCTATAAATTCCAAGTAAACCACCTCAAAACGTGTTAAATTTCATCTCATCCACCTTTATGTGACAACTTTCTGTGTTTCTAGAGACACTTTCTTTTCAAATGCCAGAATATGTTTTCTGTTGTTAATCTGCACAGAGCTGAGGATTTTATTCCTTCTCCTCCTCTCATGACTCCCCAGCTGAATGTAATTGTTGAAACTGAGTCTTTATTTACAAAGGTTTCCTTTCCTCCTGAATAATAATGCCCCCTAACTCTCATTGAAACACACTTCTGAATCCATTAATCAAAGTCTTTTTTTCTACTAGATCCTGCAATTATTGACTTTACATCTCCCATTCCAGGGAATTTTAAACCTGTAGTAATGTGGTGTGGTGTTAATTGGTCATTATACCAACACTGTTTTGTCAAATAGAAAAAAAAAAAAAAAGAGGAAAATAAAGTCTTGAATTTTCTAGGATCTCTGGATATCTGTAGTTTGCCTGAAAAGAAATCAGAAGTAATACCAACAGCAGAGATGCCAACATATGTAAACACCCAGCATATAAATATAGACGCTCTACTGGCACTTCAGGCAGATGCTGAATGTACCTTCAGTGGAACAACAGAGGAGACCAAAGCAAGCAGCCCAGGAAAGGATCTGTTTGACATGAGTGAGTTCCCTTCCTATTCACTCCCTTTCTAACAAACGACCCAATATGCTTATGCATTAGTTCTGAGTTTAAATTAAAAAAAAAAAAAATTAAAAATTTCTGAAGTTTGGTGTTGCTGCTGTAATTATGGTGAATTTTAGAATTCGTGGTGGTTTCATATCGGAGTGAGCTAAAACAGGGTGGCTGAAGATTTGAAGCTAGCCTGTGTTATGTCTGAGTTAAGGTAAGTTGCAGGCTATGTTATCCTGAACATCACGGGCAACTATGTCAGAAGAAAAATAAATCAGGAGCCCTGTCATATAGGGAATTCAAGGAGAGTGGAGGAGTGGATGGGTGGAGAACCAGCTCCAGCCTCTCCTGTGAGTATTTTACTAGGAAGTCAAGGTATATAACAAAAGCTTTGTGCAACAAGGAATGGAAATTAAAAGGCTGAGTTATCTCTTGCACGGGGTAGGCCTGGTATCCTATCTATTCCAACTTTGAAGTCCGCTTTTCCTAAATTAGAGTTATAGCCATATACCTGCAAAACAATGCTTTAAGCATCAACCACAGTTTGATGTTGGTGCTACCAATAAACATTGTTTCCAGCCTTGAGGAGATACTTAAAAGGAAATAATGGGGAAACCATGTGATGCACAGAAAAATTTCTTTGTTTTTCTACATTTCCTACCTCAAATAAATTCCTAATATGTTGTATTTAATTCAGTTTACAAAATTAAAAGGCAGTGAGACAAAGCAGCTGGTGCCTATATGTTATTCGTAAAATAACGCATCTACATTTCTGTTATCTCAGCATAGATAAAACTGTCTTCCTGGCATTTTTTGCTGAGGTATGACTCTATTTCCATAGCTTGGTGGGATTTTGGATTGAAAGAAAGGGGGAGGGAAAAAAGTTGAGAGAGTATCTGTCTCTGAATATAAATCTGAAATGAGAAAAGTATGCGGTCTGAAGTCAGAGATGTTAATTTTGATTTCTAACATACCATGCCCTTAAAAACATGCATGTACTTACTTCTATTTTTTACACATTATTTTCCTAAAAAGGCGGAAAATTGATTTATCATCTTCCAGCCTTCATAAATCTTTACCAGTCATTGGATCATCAGCGAAAAGTAGTATTAGAAAATGTGCCAGCTTAGGTTGGTGTTTGCCAGGCTAAACACGAGTTGGGCTTAGTGCAGCCTGCAATATAGAGAAAGCATATTTAAGCTGCCTCTAATACCTGAGACATCAATAAGCTGTGGCAGCACGGTATTTACTCCATTTCTCTGAGCTAAATTAACCTCTCTGTGGTCCCACACAAGCTCTGTGCTCCTCGCTTCTGAGCAGCCTTTTCAGAGCCGCTGTGCTGCTTGTACCTGGTGCTGCCCTGCAGATGTCCTTTTGCAGGCCCAGTGGGGCACAGAACAACACTTCTTTTTAATTTGTACTGGTGGAACAGACGAAGGTCGTGCAAGGGAACATACCTTCCACTAGGTCAGTACAGCTCGTAACGAAGCACCCACCGACACGTTTGCTGTTCCTGGAAGACTGCTGGGGTCTGTAATGACACATCCCTCCATTCAACCCTGCAGGACGGAGCTCTGAGTTTGGGATTCAGCTGAGGTTTTTAAAAGAGGTTTCCCCGAGGCTGATTTTGGCCAGGTGAATGGCGCTAAATGTGTTAACCTTTGTCTATTTTGCGAGATTCTCTTCCTAGATGGAGGCTGGGAGTAGGCTGAGTGGTACAGGTGGCTGTTCCTTTCTAGACATAGCCTTGGGCTGGAGACTCAGTAATGGATAATTTTTAAATGAATAAGTTGTTTGAAGAAAGACCAGATATGAGTATAATGACATTAGCTGCCCATATGATGCAATTTATTTGAAATTAAACTGTCAGATATACCTAGCAAGACTAAAGGAGAGCTTTGCCTGGTGCCAGATCATATAAACACAGCTGTTGACAATAGCCACAGCTGAAATAGAAACAGTACCTTTCAAAAGCTCCTGCAGAGGTTCACTCTGATTTTTATTGGTATCTTTCTATGCATAATATACATTTTAAACACGTTACACTCCTCAGTCTTAATATAATCCATAAAACAGTAAGTCTCTTAGTATATCTTACCTTTTTTTTTTTTTCATAAAGGCAAGTGGCTACAACGCAAAACAAATCCATTTTGAAATGGCTGGAATATCACCATTTTGTTTTACCTCTGAATGATCTTGCTCCTGTTTCTGTCTCCATAACCAGAACCATTTGAAGATGCCCTCAGGAATCAAACTTCTGAGGCCATGATGAAGCAATCCACCTCCACGGGATGCACCAGTCCTCCTCCATCCAGGGCAGCTGTCCGGACTGAAGCTGAAGAGCTGAGTGCAGAGCCGTGGTACCAAGGGGAGATGAGCAGGAAAGAAGCAGAACAGCTGCTGAAGAAATGTGGAGATTTCCTCGTGAGGAAGAGCACCACGAATCCCGGCTCCTATGTGCTGACAGGCATGCACAACGGACAAGCCAAGCACCTTCTTTTGGTGGACCCAGAAGGAACTGTAAGCACTGGCTCCCCACTAATACCTGAGGTTTCTGGCTCTACAGGTTTTCTCTAAATGTGCTTAACCTTCTTTGCAGCTTATTCACATCTGTTCATAGTTACTGCCTTGTATCTCTAGTATGCCATCACATCTCTGATTTCCTCCCTGATGCCTAGCAGAAGACACACTGCATGATTTCTGCAGATTGCAGGGAGCCTTAGGGACCTGATTCCCAAACAAGACCCATCTCTTTGCTGTACAAGGACTGCCTTGGTGGATGAAGGGACCCTTCCCACAGCAGGATTGGAGAGGTCAAGGGAGCTATAGTTTTATGTAGCTATGTTGTCCTGCTTCTGGGGAGGCTTAGTCTCTGCTAAGGGATTAAAATCATTGTCCTGAGTTTTATTCTTGGCTCCTGATAGCTACAAGTGGATAACTCTTTTTCCTCCGTAAAGGACGACTTTAGATAACCAGCCCCAAAATAAGTGAGAGTTGGCCTGCTGGCATCTCTTTCAGCTGAGAAACCTGTGGCAGAATTACATCAGTCCTGCAGAGTCTGTGGTGAGGAATGCCCATGGTGCTTCTTGCTGTTAGTCACATTTGTCACATGAGGTCAGTCAAAGGACGGTTTTGCACTTTTGAGGTGCCAACTGCCCCGTCCTGGGCTTGACGGGGACACCAGCCCGGGGCAGTGGCTCTGAGCCTCTTGGGGGGCAGCCTCCCTTGCTGAACTTTTGCCAGCAGCTTTGTGGCTCCTGGAACAAGGTCCCCTAATTTTCCCTTTAAGGTAAACCCACAAATAGCTGTTACAGGGTACTGCAAGGAAAACGCTGCTGTGTGACGTGGCAAGAGCAGGGATGCGGTGTCCCAGCAGGAGCTCTGCTGCACTGCTGGCTGGCACGGAGTACTCAGGTCCAGCGATGACTTCCTGGACATTTTCCTCCTGTGAAGGGACATTTTCCTCCTTTTTTGCACTGCCTCTAGTGCGTCTCTAATTTGCTAACCTCCTTGTTTGGGGACCTGCTTGTTCTCTGCCCCTGTCTGTGATGTGCCATCGTGGCCCAAATGGCCCTGAAATGCCTTGCTCAGGAGGCACCATTCCAGAACAACAGCTTTTCTGAGACGTGTGGGATCCTGACAGTGGCTTCTGAGCATCCCCATTTGCAACTTGTCAGAGTGGAGAGTCATCAGTAAAACGCCAGTGTGTGACCAGCTGCAGCGCCGTGCCAGCAGCTTGAATTTCTTCTGCGTGGCCTCAGTGTGATTATTCCTAAAAACCGACTCACACAAATGCTGCCTGAAAATTCATTTCACACACATTACCCAATGACACAGTTACAGCTCTTAAGGGTGTGTTTTCAGAGCAGAGTTAACTGCCCAGTTACTCTGCTCCCATCCAGCGAACAGAGGAACAAAAAGAGTAACAGGAGATCCCTCGTTCAGGTGCTTAAAATGGAGGACTGCAGGATTTTTTTCTGGATTTAGAATGAGGACTGGAACTCTGGTGATGGCAGGTTACTTGTGTTAAGAAAATCTCAGAATATAGATACAGAAAGGCACTGCTTTTTTAAAGACACCTTTTCATTTTGAAAACGTAGCTTTGAATTTAGAGAAAGTTACTTTTCAAAGCAGTGTGCCTCAGGAATGCAGAGAGCCTGTTGGTTTCTTTCAGTGACATAAGTACTTGGGGACTGAGCAGACATCAAAATTCTTTGTTTCTGTTTTTGTTGGTTTTTTGTTTTGTTTTGGTTTGGTTTGGTTTGGTTTTACCCTGTGACATCCTGTGTTGAAGTTTACAGGAATTTTGCCAGGATTTAATGTCGAAGATTGAAGTATTTCAAGAGAGGAGCCCACCACAACATAAACTGGCTTTGGAAAGTTGCAACAAAAGTTGTTCTCTCTTCCTGAGAAAAGTTCAAGGAGAATAGATGACATTCCTTACTCAGAGCAGTGCTCACAGGCATTTTCTTGAGGCAGCGTAGAGCCAGCCCAATGCAAAGCTTTACTTTAAAATATGTTTGCCAGAGTGAACCTGTGCGCTCTGCCTGTATGCCAAATTAATTTTAAACATAGGAAGGAAACGTTTTGTGAACATGTGGCTAAATCATTAAAGATTGTCTTGTAATTTGGATTAATTTTTGGCCTCTCCTGATAATTTTGACTGTTTTAACTTGCGATATCAGTTTCCTCTTTTCACAGGAGTAATCACAGGTATGTTAGCAGGATGCTAGAACAGAGGGTTGGTAAGTGGGCTAGAAAAGTGATGTTCCCTGCCCTGAAGTGTTTCAGTTCCAGAGCCACAGGGACTTTCTGTGCAGCACGGGGCAAACACAGGCTAAGCACATGTGGTGGCTGGATCACTTTTGGGGAAGGAAACTTCCAAGTACCTGAAGAAGAAGGTCTCTGTAAGGAAAAACACAAAATTGCTGAGGTGCAGGGAGAAGTTGGGTCCTGACATATCTGGAGGGACAGCCCTTCCTAATGAAAAAGGTGCAAACACTTAAAAGAAGCAGATGGTCTCCTGAAGAAGAAAAGTTGATCTCAAAAACCTGACCTACAGTGAAGCAAAATGTTGTACAGAAAGCTTTCAAGCAGACCCAATCAGAAAGAGTAGACTGACCTGTGGGGTTGCTTGCAAAATGCCTGTTTGGTGAGAATAGAGAGAGCAATAGATAAAACAGAAGCCAAGAAGGATAAGCACCAAATTTCCATCAATTTTGGTGGGAGAACAATCAGTCTCTAAAACATGATTGTGTCATTATATTCTTAGACAATTTTAGTGTGAAGTTAAGGAGGAAAGTACTTTTTAATCTATACTCTTGCATCCTTTTTTTTGAAGGTTCGTACAAAAGATCGTGTCTTTGACAGCATAAGTCATCTCATCAACTACCATCTTGAGAATAATTTGCCAATAGTTTCTTCAGTGAGTGAACTCTGCCTGCAACAGCCTGCTGAAAGGAAACACTGACTCCAGATCTATTTTAGGTTTTGTAACTTGCAAGCTGTAACTGGTAGGAATTGCAGATCTAAAAAAAAAAAAAACCAAACATGTATATTAAAAAAAAAAAAATCATATTCACATATACTTCACCAGTATGTTCTCTTTGTGTTTGAGAAGCCCCATTTCATATGGTACACTTGAAAATTCTCAGTTCTTTATGTAGACATGAAATCACAGCAGAGAGCTTTCTTAAAAGTAATTTCAATAAAATTGTTCAGATTCTCTAATGTGACTGTTGATAATGTATATATACATACCACATATATAAATACAGTATATATTTATATTTTTTGAGTCAGTCAATTGACCGTATAGAACTATCTTCTGTGTCGTGTGTTTTTACCAGAAAAAAAAATGACAATTGTGATTGTTCAGATAAAAAATAGAATTCAGCAGTCTCAGTTTCTTGAGAAATTTATTACTAGGAATCTTATTTCTGATTTTACCTAAGAAGCACAACTATGGGGATTACAGGTGGATTATGCTAATTTACCATGGTAGGAGTCTGAATTCAGCAGCTAGTATTCCAGCTCAGAAATACAGCATAAAATATTTTTGAAAGCATTATCCACTTATGTCATTGATATCAAAGGATTTTATCTTTCTGATGTCGTTTGAATTCTTATATGATGATACTCGAAACATTTGTATCTTACTTTAACAATGATTTGTTGTGATCTCTCTGTGTATGAGGTGTGTGCTTTGATTTTTCTAATGATGTTGTAACAAGATATTGTAATTTATTAATTTCAGTGCTAAGGTTATTTATAAGTAGTTCTCTGCTTATGGTGAAGATCTAGGTGTCCTTGACAAACAGTCTCAAATGAGATGTTGCATACTGAGTAGAAAAGTTCAAATAACTTGTGTGTAATAGGCTTAATCCAAGATGCACATGATAGTTCAAAGACATATCTGAAAAATCTTTTCTTCTTATGAACGCTGAAAACTATCCCAGCTCCGCGGTCAGTTTTGCAAATTTTGCCACTTGCACTTACCTACCAAAGCATAACTCCATTTTGGCCTTCAGCAAGTGATAGGTATTGCAAATACAACTGTTTTCCTCCAAACATCAAGTTTAAAAAAATACGCATATACTAAAGACGCATTTCTGGCAGAAATGACCTTGGCTTCTGGTACTGGGAAATGCTTTAAGGGACGATTGTACTATCCACATTTAAGCATTATACGAAGTTATTTTCCCATTTTAGGAATCTTATTATGAGTCAAATTCAATAGACACAGTTCCTGTAAAGACAAAGCTTGTGCCAGAGTCAAGATTTAGCCTTCAGCAATCCAAGGTCTTCTCTAGCACCAGTCTCTCAAATCAAATCTTCAGATTTGATTCATAAAGACTTGGCAGGGTAGAGTCCAGGTTAAGCAATTGCCTACCCTGCAGTAGTCAACACTTAGATGTACTTAAAGTTGGATTTGTTTCTAAGAATTGGCTAAGTTTAAAAATTTGTCAAGCCATAACAAAACTGACTGAATGACTCACAGTACATTCGGGCAGGACCATGATATTAAAATTCTGAAATAATTTTCTTGTATCTTCTGCTTTTAAATATGGTGAATTTGCAACTTGGGAATTGGATTTTGGCTAATCTCAAAACTGAAAATGATCAAGGCACTTGAGACTAATCAAGTAGTCTGTGCCATAAAGATACACTTGATTCTATAATCAAGACATCCAGAAGCCGAACTAGGACATTAGCAAAGAAAATACTTGTGATTAATATTACTACACATAGTTTTTATTTGGTGTTTCTTGATCTGGGTGGAAGCTGAGAGCAAAGGAGAGAAATTAAGTGCTGCATTGGAACCCAAATCAGTATGGCATTAAATTTAGAGGAACTCTTAAAATTTGGTTTTACTAGATTGGAAGTTGTAAGGAAACGTGAACAGACTTTGTATCCCAAAGTAGTGTTCACCAAAATCACTTTGAGTTTCCGTGTCTCACCATATTCCACTTTGAAGTATCTCAGTTGCCACTTTTTTTTTTTTTTTCTCCTTAAATAACACTTGTTATTCCATGTTCTAACCTTCCTGTAGCCATGTTGTGGAAAGCTTTAAGTGTGAGATCAGTACCTATAAGAGAATGTGTCTTTTGTTCTTTTGAATATTTCATATAATTTCAGAAAAAGTTTGATGCATAACCCCCTTAGGTGTCTTGAAAATGCCCACCTGCTGCCTATGTCTGTTCTGGATTCCTAAGTATTCTGGAAAAAACTGACAAGATTTGGGTGTATGAATTGAAGGCACTAAACATACACTGAAATAAACATCTAAATTTTCTTACCATTGTCCTAGCTGTAGCTTTAATAACTTAGCACCCACTTAGCTGGATGCTTTGGAAATTAAAGCACCCGGCAAGGAGACAAGGAATGAAATAGCTTGACAGAAATACTAAACGTCCCAGACTACATTTCACAGGCTCTGCCTCCAGGAAAATGTGGCTATTTTAAGCTGCTCTGTCAGCACAGCCAGCTTGCACAGCTTAGCCTGTGCACTGATTATGCAAAGGTTGCATACACCTTGATCAGGTGCAGTTTGGTCCTGGATAGCAATAGTGCCATTGGGCTGTGACAGTGCCCTGCTGATGCAATGGGCCAGCAGATCCTGTCTGGCCAGGTGGGAGGATCCAGAGGCTTTCCTAAGTCATTTGGGAGCCAAATGATCTCACAACTGTCCCGGAAGGAAGGGAATGTGTGCCAGCCAATGCTCTGTTTGCGGATCCTAACATGGCTTTCCATCTGTCACTCTGGTAGATTCAGCTTCCCTCTTTATGAAAATGTTAAAAAAAAACCTGTATGGCCATTTGGATGGCAGTTCCAAACCTGTTACCATTAGAGTCAAAGTCCATTTTAAAGTGAACCTGACAAGATCTAATTGAACCTGCTAGAATGGCTGGGCTCATTTCTGTGAGGAACCAACACTGACAGCAATTTCAGAGATGTAGAAGTTATGAGAGAGGCTCAAATGCTGTGTGATTGGCTGAAAACCAGACAAATAACAGCATAATAATGGGAGCCTTTTAAAGTTTGCCTTCGATTTGGATCCCTCCACCTTTTGTTATTGTTGTCTTGTATGCAGTCTCAAGGGCTACACACTTGATGGTAATTTAGTGCCATGGCTTCAAGAAGTGAGATTTTACTGAAAGAAAAGATTTTCTAGACTCAGTAGAAATTACTGAGATTAGGCAATATTATAGTATCCTTTGGTATTTTCCCAGGGAATAGATGAGAAGTCAAACTGAAACTAAATATCCTGCAAGGCTGTTTACATTGCTTTTGAGCCCTATCTGATTATGAGTTTTGCTTGCAGTTGTTTTGCAATTATAGAAATTATTGGCAATGAAAACACACTCAATTCCTTTAAAGGAAGAAGTTTTAGAAGTGCTTCTTATCTTCTTCACTTATAAGTGAAGTTATTCTGCGTACTTTTATTGCAGATCTAGAGTAATTATTAAGATAATAAAATTTTCCAGTGATGCTGGCAGTGGTAGACTGGACATCTAGGTACAGTCACCCTTTCAATTATTTTGGATGCTTCAGAAGCAATGAAACCTCAAAGGTAGAAAATGTGATTTGAAAAGTGAATTACCTTCTGACAAAACGCGAGTTTGCTCAGAGTGAGGACTCCCAGCTTCCCTTCCCTAATGCAAGGAGGGAATGTTGAAATTGACCATGCCTGTCTGGTGGCCACAGAAGGAGATGCAATTTCCATGGCTTAGTGCCTGCCTTCCTGCCCAGGGCTTTGAGCACACAGTGGGGATAGAAGGTTGTACAGGAGTTTCACTCCACGTCCTACAATTCACAGTGGAAGATAACACTGGCTCTGCCAGAAACCCCTCTGCCAGACATGTTCAGTAAAAGCCTGAGCAGAGGACGCAGTCCTGGGACCAAGTCTTGTGTGCAGAATTGTGCACTGTTGCTGTAAGAAAATGTTTAACATTCTGGTAAACATCACCTGCCAGCACTAAATTTTCTATATCCTGGGTTCATTGTTTTTTACCTCTGTGGAATAATATGCTCACATTTCTTATCATCATAGTCCTCAGGCATCACGTGCAACAAGATGAGAAGAGTTTTTAAAAAAATTATGCCAGAGAGTGATTGCTGCTGGCACGTCAAGTGCCAGATGCCAGCTACAATGTATTAATAATAGAATTGATGCATATTTAGATATTTGTAAGTAGCAAATGTTCCATTTGAAAACTAGCAGAGTTTTGCAGCTTCTAGGAAATTTGCAGCTCTAAGGGGGATATTTGGAACATGTGAATATTCTGACAAAAGCTTAGAAATCCTGCTTTCAAGATTTTGTTCTTGTTTTCCAATGTCAATCTGAAGGAAGTGGTAGAACCAAGAATTTATATTAAGCAAACCACATTTGCATAAATAAAATCTAAACTGAAGTAATAGACATACTTCCCTTTTTATCTTCCAGAGAGTTTCAGAATATATCTTCATAAAGTCCAAATTCAGATTTACCTCAGTGCACTGTCAAAAACATCTTTGTTTACATGGTCTTTTTGCCCAAACCGAGGGTTGCACTCTTTCACAAGTCTGTGCTTGCTCAGAGCTGCCAGGACATGGGCAAATTCCTACTAAAAGCTCTGTGATCAGCTGTACCTGACTCACTCAGACATAGTGTCTGTGGACACTGGTTATGTCTGCACTGGATGCAGCTGGAATGAGGGCAGGCCTGTGGAAAAGATAACAAGGCAGTACAATCTGCCAGCAGTTAACCAGAGCCTTGGATAGAGAACGAGAAGCCGTGCTGGGAGGGGAACCTTCAGGGATAAGAAAATATGCAGCCTGGAAACACGACCCAATAGGCATGAAAGCTGCTAATGAGAATAGAGTGCTGTTGCCAAATTGCAAACATGCTAATTGGTTGACGGGGTTAAAGCAGAACCCCTGGGGATGCAATGCCTACTGCTCATCTCTTATTGAGACATTTATGTTCATAAGCCCTGATCTGTACCTCTGCATGCTCCAGCAAAAGCATCTCGTATGGCTTCCACTGAGAAAAAGCAGGGCTAATTTTTTTTTTTTTTTTTTTTTTTGTCTCAGTGAGGGGAACAAGGTTTCAGAGCTATACATTTCTAGCAAAAGCACCATAAAAAGACTGTTTAAACCTTGTATGACAACAAAACAGGCTGTGGAAACCAAAGCTAGAAAGAAGCGAAAACTGGATGACTCATTCTGCTACCCCAATGTGTAAGAGACAGTGCGGATGACTCAGAAAAGAAAGGTAGCCTCAGATTTTGAGATTAAGATCATGAAGATCAAATAAAATCCAGGTCAAATGAAAGATTTTTTTCAGCAGGTCTCCTTTTTTTTCCTTGAGGAAAAAACACCAAACACATCCAGGCATACTTTAGTTCAAAATAAGTGAAATTTTCTAGTAAATGAGGAATGTAAAGATTATAATTGATATATATTTGTGTCCTTTGTGTCTGGATTGGTGTGATAACTGCTTTTCAGTAAAGTCCTGCAGAGTTAAACCTTGAAAGAAGCCAGGTTTCTTCTTTTGAGGTAAATGTTTTTCTTTGCGTTGTGTAGGCAGCAACAAACAGAAATAAAAAGTGACTATTTTGCTGTGAAAGGGACTTTTACTGTACAATCATTATTTATTAATATTTATTATTTTTAGAAATATTTTTAAATGAGAATTGCATAAAAAAATAATGTATGTGGAGATATTGTGATAATTTATACTCCCAACCACTTTTGTGAATTTCAAGTTTTTGCCTGTCTGCTGATTGTGGTATTCTGGCTCTAGAGGAAAATTTTGTCTCTGAGGAAGTCCTTGAGCAACATAGTTTGGAATATAAGTGTCATGCAACTGTTTTCTGACTATTCAGTTTGTATATGTTTAACCAAAGTAATAAAACAGTGAGCACCACTATGAGATTGAAACGTGTAATAAAGTGGGCGTGAGTCTGTTCTCCTGCACTCGGGTTCCCTAAAGGCCTCAATTGTTGGGTTTGGGTTTGTCTGCTGTTTGTTTTTTTAACTGACCTGAACCGAGGCCCATTTTGTAGCAGAACATGTGCCGTTCTGCAAGGCTCACCTAGATTTTGAATATGAACAAATCAATGAATTACTCAATCCGGCAGAGCCAGGGGTGAGAAACGTCAGAGGACCAAATGGCACATGAGGACCTGGACCTCAGTTTCAGTGACCTCATGCCACAGGAGCACCACTGACTCTGACAGAGGCAACGCCGAGTTCAGTGGGTTTGTTTTTGACAAGCACCATCTTCATGATGCAAGGAATGGTTCCCACAGGCCCTCTTCCTGAGCCAGATAATGCTCTCTCCTGGAAGGGCAGTTTTGCTGCTTGGCACACTGAACAGGTGAGGATAGGCAAGGGCAGCCTACTCCGTGGTCTTCCCGTGGAGACAGTGTATTTGGGGAGAGGGGAATGGCTCCATGTCAGCAGGAAGCTCATCTGGTCTGGTGTTCCCCGAATCCTCTTCCTCCACTGACCAAAAGTCTCCCTGCAAAGGCCCTCCCTTCCCCCCTGCCCTTTTGGAGAAAAGCTGAGCCTGGCGATGCCATGGGAAGTTGTGCTGCTCTCAGGCAGAAGAAATGCAGCTCTGAAGGGGGCAGGAGTACCTGCTGTGCCTCTGCACCCCTCTGTGCCTCTGCACGGTGCCTCCAGCCCAATTCTCCTGCTGGGGAGGGACTCAGGGTAGTGGCAAACAGAATCCCCCCATCACTGCTGCTGTGCCTGCCCCCTGAGCTGGGCCATAAGGAGGGAGTGTCTCCAGGCCCAGAGTGGCCCAGGTTCCCCACCTTTAGCTGGGGGACACCAGCACATCCCTGCTCCCCAGCAGCTGACTGCCCATTTTCGGGACCCTGGCTTTTTGGAACCTGGCACTTTACCTGGCACAGGTGTGTTTTCTGTTTCCTTACTAGAGCAGCTGGAAACAGCAAGCCTTGCAGGCAGCATGGCACCCTCATTATGGTTGATCCTGGCAAAACGTGCCTTTCCAGGGAGCAGCCACGGTGGTGCAGCTGGAGCAGACAGCCCTCCAAGCAGGTGGGCCTAGGGAACAAGCCTTTTTAAAGAAAGCAGGGGGCAAAGCCTTCTTCCAGCCCTAGGGATCATCACCTTCAGCTGCACAGCATTCCCATGGGTAGAATCATGGAATATTCTGAGAATATTCCAAAGGGATCCGTCAGGACCACGGAGTCCAACTCCTGGCTCTGCACAGGACACTCCAAGAATCATACCATGTGTCTGGGGGTGTTGTCTAAATGCTTCTTGGACTCTGTCAGGCTTGATGCTGTGGCTGCCTCCTGGGGAGCCTGTTCAGTGCCCAACCACCCTCTGGGTGAAAAACTTTTTCCTGATGTCCAACCTAAACCTCTCCTGAGTTAGCTTCATGCCATTTCCTGGAGTCCTGTCACTGGTCACAAGAGTGAAGAGATCTGTACTTGCCCCTCCACTCCACCTTGCCAGGATGTTGAAGGTCACAGTGAGGTATCCTCTTCTCTAAACTGAATGAGCCAGAGTCTGAAGCCACCATGTGACCTCAACTGCTCCACAGATGGTTTACCCTGCAGACTCTTCACCATCCCTGTTACCCTCCTTTGGACACTCTGTAATAGCTCAATATCTTTCTTATATTGCAATGCCCAAACCTGCACACAATATTGCAGGTGAGGCCGCCCCAGGTCAGAGCAGAGCAGGACAATCCCCTCCCTGGCCCGGTTGGTGATGCTTTGCCTGATGCCCCCAGGACAGGGTTGACCCTCCTGGCTGCCAGGGCACTGCTGACTCATATCCAACTTACCACCCACCAGAACCCCCAGGGCCCTTTCTGCAGTGCTACTCTCCAGCCTCTCATTCCCTGTCTGTGCACACAACCAGGGCTGCCTTGTCCCAGGTGCAGAATCCAGCACTTGCCCTTGTTGGACATCACATGGTTGGTGATTGCCCATTTCTCTAATTTGTTGAGGTCCCTCTGCAGGGCTTCTCTGCCCTCAAGGGACTCCTCCCAATTTAGTGCCATTAAACTTAGTATTCCCTCAGGAATACTTAGGAGTCCCTTGTCCAAGTCATTACTAAAGATGTTCAAGAGAACTGAGCTAAGGATGGGGCCCTGTAGAACCCCACTGGTTGTCACCAGTCTGATGTCACCCCCTTCACTGTAATTCTTTGTGCCTGACCTGTGAACCAGTTGCTCCCCCACTGTGTAACCTGGTTATCCAGCTGTGTGCTTGGCATTTTGTCCAGAGGGATCCCGTGAGGGACACTACTGAAACCTTTACTGAAATCCAAAAAGATCACACCAGCTGGCTTCCCTTGGTCAACTAGATAGGCTGCCTTGTCATAGAAGGAAATCAAGTTTGACAAGCAGGACTTCCCTCTCATGAAGCCCTGCTGGCTGTGACCAGTGACAGCGTTGCCCTCCAGGTGTTTTTCAACACTTCCCAGAATAATCTTCTCCATCACTTTACCAGGCACTGCAGTGAGACTGGCAGGCCTGTAGCTTCTGGGGTCCTCCTTCTTGCCTTTTTTGAAAGCTGCGACAACATTTGCCAGCTTCCAGTCAGCTGGGACCTCTCTGGATTCCCACTCAAAATTCATCAAGAGAGCCTTTGTGACTACATCAGCCAACTCTTTGAGGATTCTGGGATGATTCCTATCAGGCCCCATAGATTTGAAAGGATCCAGCTGGAGCAGCAGATCCCACACAATTTTAGGATCAGCTGGGAGTTGCTCATTCTCACAGTCGTAGTCCTCCAGCTCAGGGCACTGAGACCCCCTTGGTCCATCATCCGTGTTGAAGAAAGAGGCAAAGAAAGCCTTAAACACCTCTGCCTTGTCTCTGTCCCTGTTAGTAAGGTGACCATCCTCATCCTGTAACAAGCTTTTATTCCTACACTGCCTTTTGCCACTAATATATTTGAAAAAACTCTTTTTATTGTCCCTCACATTTCTGGCCAGCTTCATCTCCAGCTGAGCCCTGGGCCACATGAATTTTCTCCCTGCAGCAGCAAGCAGCATCTCTGAATTCTTCCCATTTCATTAGACCTCTGGGCATACACCTTTCTTTTTCATCTTATTTCCAATAGATCCCTTTCAGCCAAGCTGGCCTTCTGCCTTTGGAGTATTGCCTTCAGGCTCAACGCTCAGCATTTAAATGCATGTTTTCAATAGAAGGCCAAAACCTATTTTACAATTCTTTGAAAAATGACTGCTCCATGACAACTTTGGCTCAAAGGTTTGAGTTCTTTTATTAAAAGTTTTCAAAATGTTTATGGTACCTAATCAGTGGCAAATACTCTACAAGGCTGTTGGCAATAAAAGACTCTTGGTAAGCAGCTTGTGAAAACCTTTATTTTCTCCATAGGTGGCTGGGTTAGCATTTATTTTGTAATCCAGAAAAAAAACCCCAAACATTCCAATTAATGAAATAATATGAATGAAAGGTTAAGTGCCCTTTGTAGCCTTTGCTCCACATAAAACCAATTGAAATGGAGACCTTATTCAGTTTTTTGTATGCTCAAATCAGCTTAGATGGTAACAAGCTTGGATTCTGGGGTGTGTTTGAAGGAATTTTCTAATATTTTAGGGTTAAAGAAATATTCTCCATCTTCTCCCAGCTTCAAGGATACATCATATTCTTGGTTGTTTAATGTCCACTGCTGTTAAGCTCTTGACTTGTCCTATTTTAAAATTCTGTTCTGAAATCTTCCACGATACATGCCTTACGTAAAACTTCCCAGTGGAATGTGCCCACTGAAGATTGTGTCAACAATAGGGTTTTTTTTTTTGTTTCTCTTCAGTCCTAGGTATTTTGTAAATTATATTATCAGTGTTATATTTGAATCTTGGAAGCCTGCTTTAAGTACAGCAGGAAAGTGAACTAACAAAATATCCCCACAGCTCCAAAATAAGAAAAGGAAATCAAAGTAGAATGGAAGGTTTTTGTACTGACGGGCAATCCCATGGCCTCCAACAGTGGAGTTGCCTGAATTACCAGTACCTTGCACCAATACTGACAATAGCTAAGGATAAAATGCAAATGATAAAGCTCACTTTTCTTGGACTATGGCTATTAAAAACCACTTCCCCCCTCCCCCCCAAATAGCAAGAATCACGTGACATCACTGACATGAGGGTTGGTGTGGGTTCAGCTACCCTGTTTTCTCAAACCTTTGTGTTCCTAAGGCCTGTCTGTTGTACAATAGCAAGGAATGTTGCCAAATGCCACCACCATGTGAACTAAGTTACAAGTACACAAATATCTTAGCTGGCAGTTTTCAAAGACACAGCCTCAGGGAAGAACTTCTACAATGCAGCCAAAAAGCAGTGTAAGACCTAAAACCCTAAGCAAGCCATGGCAATGCAATGTCACCATTTCTATTTCTCACAAAGTTACAGAGCCTGCAGTCTGTATCTGCAGTCCATATAGTTATATCACGCTTTGCTTGGTTTAGCTTTTCATTCTTCTCTAAGTGCACTGCTTTTCAACATTTTTGGTAGAAATTATTTTGTATTTACTACTCTCTTTCACAGTTATTTCACTCAAATACAGTTCTTTGTTCTTACACACTCTTCTAAAGGCATAAAATATTTACAAGCAGACCGTTAATTTGTAAAAGATAATCACAATGCAAACCTCTACATTTTAAAGGCTTTTGCTACACACATTACACAGCTTACACACTACACATATTTGGGAATAGTCTAATGCTGCTGCTTTAAATGATTAAGACCAGATTAAAGCTAAGGATGAGCTCTTTCAGGCTGTGCGTTAAAAAAGCCTCAATTACTTCTGATTGTGCATAAGACAAGGTGTGTCTTGAGACCTTAAACACAAATCTTTGAAAGAGCCCAACAAAGACATTCTTACTGAAAGACAACGGGAACTTGTCTCAGAATTTCCTGCCAAACTTCACTGAAGCCTCCAGCCATAAAGGATTATTGATGGAAGTGCCACGGGCTGCCTCCATGAGGACTTGAAACCAGATGTTTATGAAGTCTTAACCACTCTGGGTCTCAGGGAACCCTTTGACACTGACCACCATTCTGTACCAAGGCTGGTAACGCAGTGACGAACCGAAAAGTTGCTTTCAGGCTTCTCTGGAACAGCCTCTCAAAAGGCTGGGGCTGGGGCTCCAGGTCTTCCAAACCAACAACCTTTCCTTCCAGATCCAAGGCAGGGTCAGGCATAAATGGAGGTATGCCCTTCAGTATGATCCTGTTGTACCGCATCTTTTCTCCTGTATCTGCAAAAGTGTCCGGAGGTGATAGAAGTGCAGGGTCCCATTGACAGAAAATGGGATATTGTCCCACTTGCTAAACTTCCCAGGGAGAATTCCTGACACAATCCCATGCTGTGGTGGTGCCTGGAAAGAAGGAACTCCATAGGAACCCACTGTGGTTCATTGCTTTCTGAAATGATATGTCTCTGTTTCAAAACTGAAGGATCTCAGCTCAGGTAGTGCATTCACAATGTACACAGGTTTACATAGGTTGGACATAAATTTTTAAATACACTGAAAATAGTAAGCAGAATTATATGCACTGAAACAGTATGCGAATACACATTTGTTACATGTGTATTGTGGGGTCACATTTTGACTACTTTAAATAGCAAACATATATGTCCTCTCTCAATGGCTATTTACTACTGCTTAAAATGTGTTGTGAAATGCCACAGTGACAACTGACATATTGTCTTTCACTAAACATGAAAAGTTTGAATAACAATGAAAAAAAAAAAAAATACTGCATTGATATGACATGTTAAAGTTCCTGACAGTTAAAAGTTACTACTTCATTTTAAATATCCCCATTGAAACACATCTATTTGTATAATTAGTCACCTTACACTGTATACTGCAATACAATGTTTAGCATATTGTAAACTTTTACCAAACAATGAATTTTTAGTAAGAAATTGTACAAATATACAGCTATTTATACCACATATATATAAGGCCATTAACATAACAGCAAGATACATATAGAGAACTAAATTCAACATTACAACATACGTAATGAACTCTTCTCCCAGCTGACAATAATCGGGTTTATTTTCCAACCATCAGCAGTCTTTAGTGAATCTAAAGTTTCTAACAGGTTTTAGTGATGTCTTCCAAAACCAGTAAGTGCCAAATACAGTCTCAGCATGCAATGCCATTGTGGTGTGTGATGTCCTTAAATGAACACGGACTCTGTCCTGGCTGTTGGGCAACATGAATCGTTTTTTTCTGCATCAGGTGTGTTACTGAATGATCACCCCAAACACATGATTGTTGATAAATAAGTCCTCAAAGTTAAATAAGTGGTTAGTGTCTTCCCCTGTGATTTAAGTGCATGAATATTTAAACTACACTTGTAGTTTAAATCTAAAAGCCACGGAAAAGTACTTGTCTTGAGGAGTCCTTTACTTACAGAAGTTCCCGTTGTGAAATGAAGATTCATTTTTCTCGGCGACACACGAGGGAACGTTCATCGGTGGGAAATCTTCCTTTGGCTTCTGGGTGTTGCTGCTGCTGGACTTGCTCCGACTGTGATCCGGTGTGGGCTGAATAGGCAAGGATCTGGCCACCTTGGATTTCACCAGGCAGCCACAAACAAGGCGAAAGAAAGCGCGGCGCATTTCCTTACTGGCCAGGGTGTAAATGATTGGGTTCATTGCAGAGTTGATGACCGCCAGAGCAATAAACCAGTTGGCTTTGTACAAGACAGAGCACTCCTTGACTCTGCAGGCCACATCAATGAGGAACAGGATGAAGAGCGGAGACCAACAGGCAATGAAGACGCTCACGACGATCACGACAGTCCTAAGGAGCGCCATGGACCGCTCCGAGTTGTTGTGGTTGGTGACATTGCGACTGCTGGACTTAACCAGGATGTAGATACGGGCATAAAGGATGACAATGGCAACCAAAATGGCTATGAAGATACTGATGCAGAACACAACATACTTTTTGGAGTACAGAGGCAAAATTGTTGAGCAATCTGGTAAGTTGTTTATACAGTTCCAGCCGAGGATGGGTAAGGCACCCAAGGAAATTGAAATGAGCCAGCACGTACCAATGAGAAGGAACACTCTGTATTTTTTGTTGGCATCGTAAGGCCTCATTTTAATCATGGTTAAATGCCGCTCAATAGCTATTGCTAGCAAGCTGAAAGTGGAGGCTCCCAGGGCAACAAACATGCTGCCTTCCCTAATGAACCAGATTGTGGAGGATAAGCTCAGAGTCTTCTTCCCAGACATAAGAATGTTCACTTTGTAAACAATCCCAGCTAAAAGATCACAGAGAGCTAGATTGCCAATGAAAAAGTACATGCGGTTGTGAAATTTATTGTTTTTCCATATGGCAATCAACACCATCAAGTTTTCCAGGACTATGAAACTACATAGAATCAGAAATGCAATAGTGGGCAGGTCTATATTATCAGTTGCCTTTTCCCTTAAAATAAGCTTTCCTGTGTAATTATAATGCAGTACAATTAGAGAGTCCATCTCTTCACTTCCTTGAGGGCTGACAAGAGCATCAGGTGGCATGGTAACTGCTGCCATCATTTGTTCCCTGGTGGATGCTGGACTTCTTCTCCTCAGTATCACCAGAATATAGTTCCAATAATTTTCCACAAGAGGGAGATCAAGCCACGTTCCTCCCAGCACTCCTCTGGGCGGGCGTTGTGTATCCCCAGCTCCAGCAAACCTCGCATATTAATTCGGCAGAGTGGCTTGCAAACCAGGCTCTGAAAGCAAAACCAACAAATGCAACATAAGTATCACCATCTTCCCGTGTCAGTTCAAGCTGCAAGACAGACCCAGGAGCCGAGAGAGAGGGACAGTGACTGTGACAGGAAACTAAGGCAGAGCATCGCTGCATCCCTGCCAAGGTAGCTGTAAGGTAGGTAAGTCCAGACACAGTTTGGCTGCAGAAACACAAGGGCAAGGTAGAGAACTGCTCAAAAGTGTTTCCCCCCCCTCCAAAATCTCTGGTCCCAGCAAGCCTCAGCGTGCACAGCAAACAGGTCACTGCTTCTCCAGAAGACCTGGGTGTACATGGTGCTACCAAAACACCACCCAACCATCACTGCCTGAGCAGCAGCAGGGCAAACTCCCTGCTTTCTAAGCTTGTTCTTGTTCCCCACGCAGACTCGAGGTAGGAAGGGTCCTGAGAAAGCTGGTGTCAAGTCTTGATGCCAGCGTGCATGTTGCCAGTGCCCAAAATAACTTCCCTCCCTTAATGGTATAAAATTGTGATATTTACAGTTGAGAAGATGCAACTGAAGAAAGTCAGTCGTCATAAAATCAATCCTAGTTTCCATTCAAATTAGCTGGATTTCTGCTACCTTTTTAAAAACAAACACAGCAAGTCATATTTTTATAAGTATTCATTTTCTTTTTGGTTCACTTTACTTTTTTTTCCCCCTTTGCATATGTATAGAAATCATACATTTAAAGTTTTTGTGTGTGTGTGGTTTGGTTTGTTTTTTTTTTTAAATAAAAACCAGTTACACGCAATTTAATTATCCTTCTCAGAAATTCTGATTTTCTTTAAGTTACAGCTTAGATTAACTGCAATGTTTTTCCCTGGACTTTGAGGTTCCACTTTTGCAGCAGATCCTCCATACTCTTTTTCAATAAGTATTGGACGAGACCTGTAATCTTTGTAAAAATATCAGATGTCAGAAGCACTTACTGTTTTATCAAAAATGTAGCATTTTTGTCACTGCAATGAGAATCAGGAATTGTGCCCCAAATGTATGCACTGAGGATGAAAAAACAGTCAATATTTCAGTTTTCTATGAAAACCAGGATGGGGATGAGGAAAGAATTGGTTTAATCTGAACCAAATTTGTAATTTTTTTTTTTTTTCTGTGAAAGGTAAAAAAATAAGAATTTGTGCTGGACGGGAGGATACTTTCCATTGGCCCAGAATTAAGTAGCTTAGTTTGGGGAACTTTTTAAGAACTAGAGCTCCTGACCATACCATCTATTTACTCAATGAGTATTTTCCTAGCACATCAAAGACACTTTCAAAGGGCAGGTATCAAGGAAAGAGAGGAGGTAACTAGATATCTTTAAGATCCCTTCCAACCCAATCCATTCTATGATTTTATGATTCTTTACAGGTTTCTGAAGACCAGAGGAATGTGTGAACCACTGCTGACCCAGCACTCTGTTTGTGGCACTTAAAAAGTGAGAAATACATTTTCAAGTGGCTCTCAAGAGGATGAGGGGAGGAGCAAACCACATCCCAGAGGAATGTAAAGGGATTTAAATGGATGACCCACACCCTATTTTTCCACTCTCTCTTTTCCTGGATTCCCTCCTTCAGAAAGGACATGATCTGACAAAAGCCTGCAGTAAATTGACTTGAAATCTTTAGTACATACAGGATGTTTTAAAATTATTTTCTGAGAAAATAATTTGCTATTTACCCATTGTTATTTCCCCACTCTAGTTCATAGTTCCAAACTGTGCTTGGTGTCCTTGGTCCTTTTTTAACTCTGAAGATCACAGCAACCACCTCATTCATTTCCCAGAAGCTGAACTGGGCCCTCGAATTGTTAAAACTCTTTTCTGAAACATGGTAACAGCGAAGCTCTCAACAGAACAACTTCACCTCAGCTAAGGTTCAATGTAATTGTAATTCACTTACAATCTGCACACTGTTATCACATAAATTGTCACAGCCTTTCATTGTATTGGCTTATAACAAAATCCCACTGTGTCCATATGAATTGCAAGTGCTTTCCACTGTAAAATAAACAATTACATTTGACTAGAAAAGTGTTTGTTAATAATAGCTCAACCAGCAATACTCACCAGGCTGGCTGATGGCTGCCTGAGAGAATAATATTCCTAACATTTAAGAGCACCACATATAACAAAAATAAACGTTTCTGGAAGTCTTTTTCAAGCGAGTTATCACACTGGTCTATTATCAAAGGGCAAATACATTTCTTTCTGTGAAGAAAATTATATGGCATACGTAGGAGTTTATCAGCCACAACTCAGCAGATGCAAACTGCCATGACTCTACTAAAGGCAATGGTGCTATACCAGTTCCCCTGGCTGAAGGCAAGGACGATGCACTCAATCAGCAGAAATCACACAGGGTCCCTGCCAGTGTTCGTAATTACTCCTCTTAAAATTATTACAGCAAAAAGTAAGTCTTTGCCTGTGACAGGTTAGTGAGAAGGCGGTGAAGGTTGTAACATTACTGTTTGCCAGGGCTCTCATGGCATGAGTATCACGCACAAGCCACTTGGAAGTTAACATAAACAGTAACGCAATGAATTAAAATTTATTCTCTTCTGGCAGCAACATTTCCAAGTAATACCTTTCAGCCATTTCAACCCTTCTCTTGTTTGTCTCCAGCTTTGTAGCCAGTAACTCAGAAAGCCTTTAACAGTTAGAAAAATTAATGTTGGTTTTGCATTATAATAACAAGACAGCAACAGCCAGGTCCAGGATAACCTGTGTCACTGCTTTGTGACAGTACCACGACTTACTCTGCAAAACACGTCTGCCCCAGTCACACACTGGCTGCAAAGTATGGACTTCAGTCCGGAATATTTAAAAAACAACCTGAAGAACCTGCCTGTGGCATGTTGTTTGCCCAGCACTGCCATGCTTGGGTACCTCAGCACCCCAAGCTCTTGAAACCACCGGGAATGAGTTTTACTCCCTCCGAAGCAAAGCAGGGGATCCCTATCGCTCCACCACCAGGTACCACGGGAAAGATAAAGCAACCCCTCTGCACTGCAGGGGCAATCCGGCCACACCTCCTCATGGATGCGATGGCTACAACAGGGATCTCTAAATTACTCACACAAAGGCAGTGGTACAGTGTCAGGAACCACAGTCATGTGGAACCACAACCACGTGGAGGGCAGAATTCAGCTGCCTCTTCCAGCTATTTGGCTTCCTTACTCCAAGGGTGGAGAGAGGAGTTGGGGTCAGCCATGAACAATAAGGTATCCCCCTCCTGGGTAATCTCCTGACCCACCCCATATTTTGGGGTTTCTGCAGAGGTTCATGTGGTCTCCTGCAGAGGTCAAGGATCCTAGGAGGGTCAAGTACCCTTTCAAGTTGGAGCAGGGGCTCTCTACCATGGCTCATAATCCTAGATCCCACTGGGGTCTGTATGGTCTCTCTGCCACATATGCCATGAAAAAAGCAATGCTGTGTGGAAGGCCACAATCCCATGACCTGCCCTATTGCAACACACACCTCCACTGTCCTCTCCAGCTCAACCACATAGTGGTACAGGCAGAAACTCAGAGTCATATCTCTCACCAGCTCTCCTGGCCTGCAGTCTTCCTCTGGGAACATGCAATTCCCAATGCCAGGAGGCATCGGGGAACTTGTGATAATGGGGATGCCAAAACCCTTCAGCAACCATCTCCAGTACATCTCTGCTCTCTGCTTCCAGCAGGCACTCTGGTTAAGTGTCCCACGGGACCTGAGGGCTTTTACCAGCTCATGAATCACTGTGTAGTTTACATCTAAGAGAAATGAGAAATTTCTTGTTTTCAAAAGAGTGAACCCAAGTGCTCTCAATTTTCTGAAAGTCAAAGCAACAAGTGAGAATAAAGTGAGAATAGAACTTAACTTTTCACTACCTACTTCTGCCTGCACAAGAACGCATAATGCTATGCATTCAGTACACTCACTGTAATTTGGCCAGAGTTGTATTTTCCTGCTTTCCAAATAGTCATGAACAGACTTGACCAAAGAAACTGGATGCCCCTTCACCAGCACTACACATATTGCAGTTCTCCCTTCTCTGCCACCTTCTTTGGCCACCAAAGACAATTTTAAAAATGGCAAAGAAAATAATACATATCCAAAGACAAACGTTTTTATATTTTATGTGTTTGTACAGCCCTTGCAAATAAAGAGTAAACGTGAGTAATTTATCAGGCAGTCTCATTAACAGAAAAAGCTTTTCAGAACAGCAACACATTTCAGTATACAGTTCCACTGAAATTAAGCTGTGCTAGATGTAAATGAAGTTTAGACAATAAACATCTGCTGCAGAACAATGTCTTAGACAACTCGAACGTTAAAAAGATTTTCTATTTAAGTGAATGTGCTGGCAGTTTACAGCCTCAGAAAAAACAAATAATTACTTTTCCTGGCTTCTGGCTCGTAGATATCTGTTTGAATTTTGTAATTCCGAGTAGCACACATGCACACCTCCTCACTCCAGGCTGGTTTAATTCTTGCACGTTAAAGGGAAGTCGCTTGGACTTCTTTCCCCGTCTCCCAGCACTCCCAGACCTATTTCCCCCCCGCTCCAAACTCCGGGGTTCCGTTCACAAACTTCCACCCGAACTTTTCCGGGGCGATAAACACCTCGCCTAAGTCACACGAGGCGCCCGCGGCGTGACCGCCTCGCAGAGCAGACACCATTCCCGGGGCTCCCACGCGTGCCGCTCCCTCCCCGGCAGCCGGACCGGCCCCGCGCTCCGGGCCCGGCGGGACGGGCACGCCGAGCCCTCGCTGGCCGAGCAGGACGGCCCCGACGGGCGGGAGGGGCACGGGCCGGGCCGTCTCGGAGCCCCGAGCTGCGCTCACCCCGCGGCCCCCAGCGCTCCGCGGCCGCCGCATCCAACCCCGCGGCTGGGATGGGATAGGATGGGATCACCCCGGCCCTGCCCGCCGCCAGTCCCCGCAGCCGCCCCGCCCGGGCACCCCCGGCTGACCGACCTCCCCTCCGGGCTTTCCTCCGGCGCGTCCGCCCCCCCCTTCGGGTCCTGCCTCCGGCACTCCGCTCCCGCTCCGCCGACACGGCCGGACAGGCTTCGCTCCGCGTTCCCTGCCTGCCCCCGTCCCGTCCCGTCCCGTCCCGCCCCGCCTCACCCCGCCCCTTGGCCGCTCACCGTGCCCCATGCCCCGGGGAGCAGCGCCGCCGAGATGGATGCTGCCGGCAGGGCTCGGCCGCGGGCAGAGCGAGGGGTTTAATTCCTGCGCGGCGAGAAGGGCAGGCGGGGTGAAAATGTGAGACGGCAGAGCCCGCCGGCGGGTATTTGTATCGTCCATAACAATGCGGGGTGGAGGGGGGAAGTTCTGGGTAGGTCTTACTCAGCTCGAGCTATTATCGCGTTCGAGAGAGGTTTTTGCGTGTGTTGCCTCTGCCCCTCTGTCTCCAAGAACGAGACCTTCAGAGACCTTGAATCGAGAGGCACACGGTGAAGAAAAAGTACTTCTGGTTTTGACCCAGAGCTGCCGATTACATCGTGTTTCCTGGTAAGGTACCACTTGACAGAGTTACTGACTAATAGCGACTCAAGGACGGGGATAGGCACGCGGATTGCCCCAGTAACAGGAGCAGCACTTTGAAAAAGAAGTTGGAACCCTGGATCCTGCAACCGTCTAATTTAAATGTACTTGTAAGATGCCTGTGGGTACAGCAAATCTTTCTGCCAAAATGTGTGTGATGAGGTGGCAAACGGGAGCACCACAACAACCTTGCAAGGCTCAGGCAGGCGTGTGGGGCTGCCCAGTCGTCCTGCTGCAATCAGAGTTTTTTTGAGAGTCCCCTGCCTGGATCTGAGCGTTGTTGCACTCGGAGTCGTGCCGTGGGCTCGGCTGTCAGGTCGCCTGCGCTGCTGCTCCGGAGGGAGGAAACTTGCTGGAAGAAAGCAGAACTAGGCTTTTCATAGCCAAAAGCCTTCTCTGCTGTCCTCTCCCCTCATGTGCTGTGTGAAAGCTGCTTTCTTGTGTGGAATAGGAGAGAAGTGGAAAACTCCTTCTATGTCACGTAAAAGTACTTGGCAATGGGGAGCCTGGGCCTGTGAATTGTTGCTCTCCCATTGCTCAGCAAAGCCTTGTCCTACAGATTCCTTGAAAACCACCCCATGAAGCTCTGTAGTTCTCCTGGCAACTTCTCCTGGCACAGAGTGGCTGGAGAGCAGCCAGGTGGAAAGGGACCTGGGAGTTTGGATTGACAGGAGGTTGAACATGAGCCAGAGTGTGCCCAGGTGGCCAAGAAAGCCAATGGCATCCTGGCCTGAATCAGGAACAGTGTAGCCAGCAGGAGCAGGGAAGTGATCCTTCCCCTGTACTCTGCGTTGGTGAGGCTGCACCTTGAGTATTGTGTTCAGCTCTGGGCCCCTCAGTTCAGGAAGGATATTGAGGTGCTGGAACGGGTCCAGAGAAGAGCAACCAGGCTGGTGAAGGGACTTGAGCACAAGTCCTGTGAGGAGAGGCTGAGGGAGCTGGGGATGTTTAGTCTAGAGAAGAGAAGGCTTAGAGGTGACCTCATCACTCTCTTCAACTACCTGAAGGGAAGTTATAGCCAGGTGGGGGTTGGTCTCTTCTCCCAGGCAACCAACAACAGGACAAGGGGACATGGGCCCAAGCTCTGCCGGGGGAAGTTTAGGTTAGATGTTAGGAAGAAATTCTTTACAGAGAGGGTGATCAGGCATTGGAACGGCCTGCCCAGAGAGGTGGCGGATTCACCATCCCTGGAGGTTTTTAAAAAGAGATTGGACATGGCCCTTAGTGCCATGATATAGTAATTAGAGTTGGATCAGGGGTTGGACTTGATGATCTTGGAGGTCTTTTCCAACCCAATCTATTCTATGATTCTACGATTCTATGATTCTGGCTACACACCATCAAGACCCAGTTCTGCTAGAGCAGATGTTTCTGTGAGCAGCCCCTAGCTTGGCTCTGTGTTCTCCTATTTTTCTTGTTCTTTCCCCTCTGTCTTTATTTTTCCTTTACTGCCTTTTGCCCACTTGGAGAGGGGAGCCAGAAGAAATAGCCGTTCTGATCAGACTGTCATACATGAGGGGACCAGACACTGCCACCAGAAAGATCTTTTGGCAGTGGTGCCAGGAGCTGGTAAACTGTGTCCTGCTGCCTGTGATGGCTTTAAAGTGCCTTCCTTAGTTGGTCTTACTGCCACCAGCAACCCACAGGAGCAGCCAACAGCAAGGCCGCACTGCACTACAAGGGGATCACTTTGGAGGGGAGCTTGCACGGAAAGTGGTGTATCCGTGGTGAGGACCAGATGTTCCCTCTGACTGACACCTCCTGATGGTGTCTGATATGGTGCTGTCTGAAAGCCCCTTGGCTGCAAAGCACCTGGAGCGACACAGCCACGCCAGTGAGCAGGGTGATGTCATGCCCCAGCTTTCCTCTCCGTCACGGGGAACAGACTCCAACCACGGCTGTGCTGGAGGGGTGTTTGGCTCATCAGCAGGCAGTGGTTTCCTGCAGCTGCCTGTGGGTCCTGTGGTTGCAGTGGCTGCTGATGTCATTGGAGGAGGCAGGACACTGCAGTGCAAGCTGGAGAAACCAACCAGGGACCACGGGGGGTAGAGAGTCCCTGTTCGGAGGCTGCCAGGGCATCGTAGACCAAAGCAACTGTTGGCAAAAAGCTTTGGGGAGCTCAGCCTCTCCAGTAATAGCTGATACAACCCACTGGTTCAATTCCAAATGCCACACAACAGCCAGTGAGGCACGCATGGGGAGCTTTCCACGAAGCTCTCGACCTTAAAGGAAATTACATTTTTGTGGGGTAAAGAGATTAAGGACTAAGTAAAGGCGCTGTGATGAATTTTCATAGCAACAGAAGGTTAACAGCTCAATTTTCTAGGGGTGAGAAGTCCTTTCTGCCCTGGAAATTCCTGAGTGAGTGGGCAAATAATGGGAAAGCAACCATTTCTGATGTTATTTGGGGTACTCGACAGTGAGACTAAAACTGAGAACGAGATGTTTCCAAGATCTGGAGGTCCAGAGTGACCTGCTGATAAATGCCGTGTTCATTTCCGTGCTGCTGAGTGAAACATAGGAAAAACAGCTCTAATGATAGATGCACAAATCTGCATGGAGTGTTAACAGTCAGAAGAGAGGTCTTTGTGGATAGCCCTTAAAAAGCGCTTGACGTTCTTTTAACTGTTAAAGTGAAACTGAATTCTGGGAATTGTAAAGAAAGGAATAAAGAATGGAAAACATGGTTCTGCGAACTTGGCACCTTGTGTACCATGAGTACCTCTGGTTGCTTCCTCTCCTTAAGAATGCAGTACAACACAAAAAGGCAGAAAAAAGTGATGGAATGGTTAGAAAAGTCAGCTCTGAAGGGAAAATCCAAGTTGGCTAGGTCTAATTAGTGGTCTGAAAAAGGGAAAAACACAACAAACAAAGATGGAATAATTTTAAACAAAAGGACACAAATTTCTGACAATGTACCATTGAACTGTGGAACACAATCAACAGGGGAGAAAAAGCCATTAAACAAACTACATGAAACCACATGGAGTAAATACGTTTAAATAATGTTAAATACAGTGAGAAGGCAGTGCAGGGTACAAGGGCTGGGAGTCCCAAGAAGGGACTGGAGATTCCCTGCATGATTCCAGCTCCAAAGTTCACCCTGGGTCGAATCCTTTCTGGGTTGTTTTCTTCTGTGTTGCAATTAAGTGGGATCTTGACTGTGGGGGCAAGCTGTGGCACACTTAACAGGGTGTCTGCTGCCCCTTTCTGCAGGTATTGAAAAAAAAGGTGTTTCTGTAGGAGATTTAAACTGGGCATGGCAGAGAAAGGGGCAGCAGAGGGACTCGAGAGAGATGGCTCAGCCGGTGCCATTGGCTCAGCAAATGTCCTGGTGAAGTTATCTGAGGCTCCTGGGCCACCCTGCAACAGCCCATGGATCTGCTCCTCTGTTGTGGGTTTTACATGGAGAATAACGGATTAAAGAAAGGGGTTTTTTTTTCCACGTGTGGCATTTGGTCCAGAGAAAGCAGCGAATGATGAGCGCCATTGATACAGGTGGTTTTTCAGAACATGCTTAAAAGTTAAAAAAGTGGTTAAAGCTATTTCTATTTACAGATAGATAAAATACATAAACATGCAATAAAAGCTGAAGTTACCCTCAGATGAAAGATATTGTGGTTTCTCTACAGACAAAACAGCTCATGTTTCAAGATTAATATTATCCTCCTCATGTATTAGTTACAATTAAGTCCACTTTTTTTCGGGCAACTGTGATAAAATCTTGGTTACTTCTGTCTTTCAAGATCATATGATGTTTTATTAATACATTAGTTTTCATCATACTGACATTCACCCAATGCTTCACAGGTCTGTTATTGATTTCCTTCCCTAGAGTTCCTGAAGTAATGCTTCAACATTTGGAAAACCAGCAATTTATTTTTGACTGTTTTGGTGTGAAAACTAAATGGCAGCAGAGCAATTTTAAAACTAAAATTCAAACCAGTATGATATTTATCTGATTCTGTCATAACATATTTTAGCTCTCTACTGTTGCTGAACTATCCTTTTAATATTAACAGATGTGTTGTGTGTGATTTGTTACGTCTACATGATGAAGTGCTGCAACATATTTTTGTTTGTAACACCATTTTTATTCCTATTTCTCTTACTACCACCCAGTCTTAAGCCAATATTAAATGCAATATTGTTTAAATTAGAAGTCATTAAGGGGCAAATTTAATTAATATTTTAATTGAATGTAAACATAAGAACAAAAAAGGACGAAATTTATTGGGAGTGCTCTTTAATCATAATCTGCAGTGATCAAAGTACATTTGTTTGCTACATCAAAGAAGAAATCTGTCAATCACTGTAAAATATAAAGAGAAGATATTTTGGAAACCTCAAAAACTATGACTTTTTCACATCCTCATGCACTTGTATATCTCATGTATTTGCTGTATTCTTTTGCCTGTCTCAACTTTTTTGGAAGATACTTGGTTGTGCTTTCTCTAGCAGCAGTAAAGCTGACACGAAAACTCTGTAAATCCATCGTGGGAATGACTGAGGCCAAGATCTTGAAA